GAACAGATGCAAAGTGAAGCCAGAAGAGGTAGGAGATCATTATACACAGTAACAGCAGTGTCGTAATGATGATCAACTGCAAAAGACGTGGCTACTCCAATCAATACAATGATCCAAGGCAATTCCAAAGTACTTATGCAGTAAAAATGCTATTCACCACCAGAGAGAGAACTGATTGAACTCTGAGCGCAAACTGAATTATAACTTTCTTGCTTTATTTCTCGATTTTTTTTTGCAATGTCTAATATGGAAATATGTTTTGCATGATTTTGCATGTATAATTGACATAATTTTGCTTGCCTTCTCGGTGGGAGAAGAGTGGGAGGGAGGGAGAAAATTTGGAACTCAAAATTTTAAAAGAATGTTTAAAATAAATAATAAAATTTTATTAAAAAAAAAAAATCTAGTGAGAGTGCAATAACATAATTACCCGCCAGGTGGCAATCTACTGAAGTACCCAACTTCTCAAGTTTCTTTCCCACAAATGTAAAGGGCAGCCTTCCTAAAATGACTGTGTATGGCCGCTATTCACAACTGGAGGCTACTAAGCATGTGTTACTGCCAAGCTTATATTTTGGCTGCAGTTGCAGCACTTAAAAGGATCAACTTGTTGGCAGCGTCCAAAGGTAATGAAACAGAATATTGTTTCTCTATAAAGGCAGCATGGAAGAGTAGGTAGAGAGCTGGCTTCCCAGTCAGGAAGACTTGGATTCAAGTCCTCCCTCTAACATATAGTATGTGAATGAAAGAGAAAGCATTTATTAAGCACTTCCTATGTTCTAGGAACAGTGCTAAGTATGAGGGATACAAAAAAGGGAAGAAAGTTCTTGTCCTCAAGGAGCTTCCATTCTAATGGAAGAAGACAAGAAATAAAAAGGAGCTGGGAGCTGGAAGCATGTATGTTGGGAGGCGGGGAGGAAATGGTTCCACATAGGGATATGTGCCTGGAGGCATGGTAATGGTGGCATTAGCCTGGTTCCTGGCAAGGTGAATACTCATCTACCAGATCCCTGAGTTCCAGGGGCAAAGTCCAAGGTTTCAGTGGGAGGGTGCTGAAGAGATTAAGGATAATGGCTGATCCCTTAACCTCTCAATGCCCTCAGAGAATTCTTTTTTCAAAATTTTAAAAAATTGTTATTCTGAATTTAACAAGAACTAACAGACATGAACATTTTCAAATTTAAGAAAAGATCAAGACAACTGTACATGAAACCACAAATCTCTAACACATTCTAAGTACATATTGCATTTTTAAAAGAATGTGATAAATTCAACCATTTTAAAGCTGTCTTGCTGATATTTATCTCCTTCCAAACTTTGTCCTGTTCTCTCTACATTTAAAAAAAATGACATAATGACCCCCTTTTTTTGGTTTCACTACCATTGTCTTTTTCTCTCTCCCAAATCCTGCACCCTCCCTGCCAAATAAGAATAAAACCATATCTTATAACAAACACAAGCAATATCAAGTCCACAAAATGACCATCTATGTAAGTAATAAACTGCCTAACTTGTGTTCTGTGGGTGCTTGTGTTCTTGTTCACCCACAATCTCTCACAGTTGGTACTAGGAGTAGGATACTATAGGAACGTGTCTTCCTGGAACAAGAAGGCAATGGGGACTCCCAAGGGTTGGAAAGAGTTTCCATGGAAAGAAGTGAGATTCTTTTTTTTGTTTACTCTTTCTAGCCTAGCCTGCTTCCTAGCTTTGGACTTGATCTTGGGGCCAGGTTCTACACATTTCAGGAGGGAAAGTCTGGGCTGGTCCTGTTGCCCAGGTTTTCAGGTATTGACTATTGTGTTATTTTAAAATCTGAGACAGCACAGGCTGGGGACCTGCAAGCTTTCAGTGCTCCCATAGTGGTCTGATCCAAGGCAAAGTCTGATTGCTGCCCTTCTAATCTGAGCTCTGCAAGTTCCTAACTTGGGTGTGGGTCTGAGCAATAGAAGACTGTTGTTGGACTCAGCACCCACCAGCCAGCTGGGAAGTTCCGCTAGTTCTGAGTGATACAACTGCAGGCTCCCTTTGACATGGAGTTTCTACCCTGGACATTTCTCTATAGGCTTCAGAGTGGGCTAGAAGCTGGAACTGAGACCTGGCTCTGTTCCTGGGGTCTGAGACACGCTCTGGCTCATTGTTTCTTGTTCCTCACAAGTAACACAGGCCAAGGCCCCCAACCACCCCTTACTCTGGAATGCCACCCCTCGACTTAGGTACCATTCTCAATCTGCCGTGAATTTATGACCCAGAACTGGGTAGTGAATGACAAAGTTGCCAGTTGGCATATATTCCTGTTGAGGTGCCCCAAGATGGATTTGGGACCTACTTTTGCCTGGGTGTATGGCCTTTATCCTACACTGGACTGCTCTGTGAGGCACACTTCTAGCTAGATCCCATCACTACCACACACTAATCTCTCTCCCTGTGCTGATCTGGGCTGGAAAAATGATTCATGATGACTTTTTCTTGAGTTTTCCCATCAGGATTCAGAATGGAGTATTTTTCAGATTTGTTTGGAAGAGTTAGGGTCGGGCAGAACATGCTGTACTTCTTCCAGATATTCCACGATCTTTATTCTGTCTCCTACACCTCTCCAATGCTACTTGTAGGCCTTAAGCCAAGATGTCCGAATTCCAGATTTAAATACAAATGGGCTGAAGGCTGAAGGAACAAGATGAGGGACGAGATCTAAGCCGTAGGGTGTAGTAGCCAATGAAACCAGGACTACAACTTACTGAAGGTCCAAGAACTTTCTTGACCCAGAGAGAATTCTGCCACATTTATTACCCCCTATATACCCACCATGCCCCAATCCCAGTGAATAAACCCCCTCCAGTCACTTTTAAAGGGGAATCACCACTAACACAAAGACTATGACTTAATCAAGTCACAAATCTTTTTCTAGACCCCCAAGAACTAATTATGTATTTCTTAGACAACCTCTTAAACAGAAAAGGCTTTTAGAGCTTAATGCTCAGGCTCTTCCCTTAGTGTGCAGCCTAGGGAAAAAGGCAGCTAATGATCCTATACTCAGTCCCCCATTCTCACAAGACCCAATAAAAATACTAAAGTATAAATCAAATAATGAACTTTTATTAAAACATTACAGTGGGGTGCAATAATCTCTTTAAAGTACAAAAATAATTGTTAAAAGATTTTCCTTTTCTATTTGAGTATGCTACAATACCTGTTCACTGATATGTAATATTCTGATATTATACACTGTAAATATTATACTATATTCCTGAGCCTGGGCAACTGTACTTTCCTCTATCCCTCATATAATCACAGATAGGAACAATGGTTGCCCAATTTGCCACAGTCCTTTTTCTAGTATTTTTCAAACCATTTCACAAGTTACCATCCTTAGTAGTAACAAGACTGAATGGTTCCACTCATGCAAATCTCACTTTGAATTAGTCTTAATGCCTCAATATTTCTTTAAAAAAACTTTTTTTTAAACTCGGAACTTTTTTTTTTTTTGGCACGTATGTGTCTCTGAAAAAAAAGACAAAAGTAAAAAAAAAAAGACAGTCTGAACTAATCCCTTAGATCTAATCTGATGTGGGCTTGCCATCAATAGACAAGCCACTATAGCAAGAAATACACCTGAGCAATCAGCTATCGACTGGAAGACAAAGCTCATTTCCAACAGCTATAGTTATAGCTAGTTATAACTAGTTCTAACTAATAACTATATGATGGAAGAGAAAAGGTGCTTCAATATATGACATATGTGGCTTGATTCTATAAATTAAGTTGACTTAGAATAGCCCTTTTAGTGGGTAATCAGAATTGACTCAATATAGCAGAAGCCACAAAGATACTAAAATTAAAAGAAGCTGAACGTAAGCCCTGTAGAGAGCTGTTGGCTGTACCTCCAGGTAGTCTGAACTGAGTGCTCTTGTCATCTATCTCCCTGGCAGCCAGGAGTTTTCACTGCTAGCATGTTCCCATCCCCACTGGAGCCCCAGTAGGAAGATGGGAATTTGGTGGGAAGTGGGGAATGGAATGGGTCCTTCCTCCCTATTCCCCCACTGAAGCAGGGGACTGGATAGATACCTTCCTCTATTCTGGTGGTCACAAAGAGCTAGTTAAGAGCTTCTTTCAAGTCTTGCTTCTTGGCTTCATCCTACTCATTTCCTTTGGGTTTTGGCTTTGGGGTATGAGCCTTGGGACTGTCTCATCCTGTTGGTTCAGGAATATGAGGCATGAGAAGTCCTAAAACACTGACCACACATCCAGAATGCATTCATTAGGGTATTCTCAAGCAGACTGTGAGTGGCCATAAGATCAGATGATCGAGTGGTGGTCACCCTTAAGTTTCAATGACCTAGAAGTCAGAAGTTACTGCAGTAAGGAGACAGTACCATGGAACTTTACTGTGGTAGAGACAGAAAGTAGCCCATACTTTCTTTTTAAAATAAGTTTATGTTACACAGAGTGATTTGAGTTCTTATTATTGTAGCAATTTGACATGAGTCATGGGTTGCTGATTGTATTCTCTCTAGTGAACATCTTTGAAGCACTACTTTTATGATGTGATGCTAGTTCAATGGGATGGCTATGAAACAGTATAAAGACTTGATATGAAGGCATCTTTGTTGTTTAAACTATATGAGAGTAGTAAGGAAATGTGTAAATTTTGTTTCCTAAATATATTTAGAGGTGCTGCACTCAGAGCTTCCTAGAAGTGCATACTTCTTTAAAAATACATTATTGATCTTTCTCCTCTGTTACACATAGCCACTCGAAATTCAGTCTCTTAGAAGAGCGATTTATACAGAACTAAGTTTGGGCTCAATGAAGGATCCTATTGTCATTCAAAACTTAATGCAGTCGCTTGTAGGCACTACTCTTCCAGATGCCAGGGATATTTCATTTATAAAGCTTTCTATGTGAAATCAAGGAGACTGTGAGTGGCCATAAGATCAGATGATCAAGTGATGGTCACCCTTGAGCATCAATGACCTAGAAGTCAGAAGTTACTGCAGTAAGGAGACAGTACCATGGAACTTTACTGTGGTAGAGATAGAAAGGAGCCCATACTTTCTCTTTAAAATAAGTTTGTGTTACACAGAGTGATTTGAGTTCTTTGAAAGGCACCAATAAAGTCCAAGATATTATTGCTATTATGATTACACAGGGGCCATAATGTACTATGGCAATCTGCTCAGTCAGAAAGCTTAGTCTAAAGTATGTGGTTCATTGATCTTCTGGACAGATGAACACAGGAAGAACATATCCATGAAGGTAGTACCCATCCTGCCCTCCACATCAAAACTAAACTTCTTCTCTCCCAAGGAGATATCTGGTTCTCTTGAACTTGACCATGATGATCAGGACAGTGCCATCTCAGACAGGAACTCTGTTTTCTTTGGCCCACTTCTTCATGATGCGGATTATGTATTCTACCTGGGTATTACCAGTGCTTCTCAGTAGATGCAACACCTCTCGAAGGGTCTCTCTGAAGAAATGATATTTAAGGAAAAAAAGTTTCAATTTCCACATCCTGCTCCCATATGTGCCACTTTTTCCACTAGACCCACAAGTCCTTTTTTCACTCTTGCTCTGGCTTGGAGAGATAAGGCAGTAGGTGTCAGTCCTGCCCTTTCTGGAGCAGTCATAGTTCAGACAGCAAGATGTAGTCTTTACCAGGGCCTCCCAACCTCTTTGCATTGCAAACGCTATGATCTCTAAGACCTAGTCATGTAAAATTTATGGAAATGTTGAAGCCATTTCTACATGCCTGAAGCTACTTAATTGGTCTTGTTAATCAAATGGACAGAGTTCTCTCTCTAAACATAACTGTAAAAGTGACATGCCTATTTGGTAGGCATTCCCAATTTTTCATATGATAAGTAATGACTTCACAAGCTTAAAGTGAACAGAGGGGTGGATTACGTACTTGGGTTCTCTGCCAGCTAATATCATTTGGAAAATGCCCACACAGGCACCCCGCTTGCCTTCCCAGTATTCAGGGTTGGGATCCAGTCTTTCCAGGACATCAAAGGCTTTGGCTGAATAGTAAAACTGGCCCATCTGAACGAAATACAAACAAAAAGTGTTAAAGTGATAACCTGAAAGCCAAAAGTCTGCCTACAAACAGTGATTTTTTTTTTGAAAATGAGGAATTTTATGAATTAGATAGGCAGGTAATGACATTTATATGCATCATTTTTTCCTGTCAGAAGCAGAATTGCTTTACGTCTACATACATTTTATCAAATGGAAAAAATCAGAATTTTGGCACAGTAAGCACTAGTTTTCTACAATGTATACACAAAATAATGGTTATCAACAGTGTATTGCTAGAGTATTCCTTGAACAGCTATCACTATGCTGTGGAAACCTTGGAAGCCTTGCACTGATTCTATTCCACTTGGGAGCATGTGCACAGACGTTACTGGCCTATCTTCTTGATTCCTCATACTATTTTCTGGAGTAGTTGTTTACATTTTTTTTTTCACCAGGCCCTAACTCTACTCTCACTTAGGTTCATTTCCAGCAGATGCCCTTGACTCTTGTTTTACTGAGCATACTGAGGCCATTTAATTTGAGCTTTCTTAACTTCCCTCTTCTGTAGCTAAACATCTTTTTATATTTTTAGGCATCCTTTCCTTTATTCCTCCTGCTTCTAGAGAAGGGATGGTTTTCTTATTTGCCAAGGCTGGCCATTATCCCTATCCCCTCTGATCCCCTCTGGGATCTAGCTCCATAAATCATTCCCACTTTCTCTTAAATCTTTGCTTTCATTGTCCCCACTGGCTTTTTCTCGTCTGCCTACAAACCTCCCTCATATCCCCCTAACCTCTTTACCCTGATACCTTGTTGATTCAATAAAACAAATACTTATTAAATAAGCATGTACATGTGCAAGGCACTGTAACTGATAATGGAGGTACAAGGACAAAAACAAAAGAGTCCCTGCCTTCAGGGAGCTTCCATTTTCCTGGGGAATGAAATACGTATATGAAACATGCAACAGAGAAGTAAATACAAGGAAATTTGAGGAGAAAAATAAAGCATTAACAACTATGGAAAATTAGGAAAGCTTCATGCAGAAGGCAGCACCTGAGCTGAACCTTGAAGGAAAACGAGGATTCTGGGAGGTGAGATTGGGGAGGAAATGCATTCCTGCGATGGGGCACAGACTGCACCAATGCATGGGAGCAGAGATACAATGCTAAGTGTGGGGAATAGCTCATAGACCAGCCTGGTTGGAACATGGGGTGCGTGAAGGAGGGAAATGTAAAATAAGGCCAGATTGTGCAGGGTTTTAAATGCCAGGCTAAGGAGTCTGTATTTCATCCTAAAGTCCCATAAGGTTTCTAAGGAGCAAAATCACAAGGTAAGATCTGTGTCTTTGGAAGATTATTTTGACAGCTCTTTGGAGGCTGGAATGGAGAGGAGAGAAAGCAGGGAGCTGAATTAGGAGGCTATTAAAATAGTTAGGGTAGGTGATAAATACCTAACCCAGGATGGTGACAGAGTAGAAAAATACAGAAGGAGAGCTGAAAAAAGGACTAAACATGGGGTGTGAGGGAGAAGGAAGAGTTAAGTGACTCCAAAGTTCCAGAACTGGCTGACTAGGAATTTAGGGCTTCCCACAAAAAAAAAAAAACAGTAAATTTGGAGCAGTAGATAACAGTGGGAGAGATGAATTCTATTTTGGACATATTGAGGGTTTAAGATGCTCACAAAGCATCCTAGAGTTCAGAAGAAATATTAGTACTGTATATATAGATTTGGGAATCATCAGTGCAGAGATGATGGTTGAACCCATGGTAGCTGAGCAGGGATAGAAAGAGAACAGAGTCTTAGCTGATACCCATACTTAACAGACTGGAGATGGATTATGATGCAGCAAAGGAGACTCAAAAGGAACAATCTATCATACAGATTGAAGGAGAAAGCCATGTTATGAAGTCAAGGGAAGAGGGAACCCAGAAACAGAGAGCAGTCAACATTATCAAAATCTGCAGAGAAGACAAAGAAAATGAGACCTGATTTAAAAATCACCTAACAGTTGATTGAGCAGTTAAAAGATTGTTGATAACTTTGAGGGGCAGTTTCAGTAAAGGAGTAGGATCAGAAGCCAGAATATTAGTAGTTAAGAAGTGAGTGAGCTTTTGAGGAGGCAAAAGCCAGGGTATCACATTCTTCTTCCTCTCTACATTTGTGAATATAAAGCTAACTTTATTTTTTAAATGTCATCTAAAAATATTATCTTATACTTGAAACAATGCAGTAATATTTATCCCCAATTTCCCCTTCAATTTAGCCTAGAGAAAGGAATTCACCTTATAGCAGTCATTAGCAATGAGTTGTAAAAGACTAAAGGACTCCCCTGATGTTTCCATCTTCAGATAGAGCTCCCAGGCCAGTCTTGGTTTCTTATTCATAATGTCTGCAAAAATAAGCACAATTTATGCTTTGAAAAGTATATAAATCCCTTTATGAAGCAATTTTTCATACCATGAACTTTGTTCTATCTCGCATATATGAATATACATAATGTCCCAAAACTTGTAGGGTATTTTAAAGCTATTAAATTTAAATATAGATTTTAAGCTGTTAAAGCTTAAAGCTGCACTAAGACTTTTGGGACTATGTGCATGTATATGTATGTATATGTGTGTGTATGTACATATAAATGTATATTTATATAAATGTGTGTGTATATATATCTTATATATGTGTGTGTTTATATGTGTATATATATATATATACACATACATACCCAGAGAGATAAAGTAATGTGTACTTTATCTCTTTTACTAAAACACAGAGTGCCCTATGATATCAGTATTTACCAGTGTTCAACTCTACTTAAAATGTACTTATAAGTCATTCTTGAACATAAATCTTTTTCCTTTAACTATGTGTATCCTGTTCCTCCAGAGGACAGAAATCTATTTAAGTTAAGATCTTAAATGATCTCCCTTAAATCCACAAACGGCTTGCTCCTTATCTATCTTTTCGGGTGATCTGCCTCCACACACACAGCTTCCTTTCTAGCATTTACAATTGCTTGTAAGCTGTGATCATCGCTTTCGTGTTTGGTTTCCACTGGTCCCAATCAAGCTATAACACTTCCTCAGTTCAGCATCCACTTTCTTTAAGCAGCTATTCCTGACTAGGCAGAAGGAAATATTGGTCAAACCCCACTTTAACAAATGCATTTAGACAAGACTTCTCTAAATGCATGGATCATATTCAGAGCTTTGTAATATATTTAACGATTTTGATATGAATTTCTGTGTGCTACTAGTCCTGGGATTATTCTGGGCAGTAGCTCAGAGAGGAAGATGTATCCTATAGGAGAAGTACTGTAGTTTTCATTCCCTTTCTTAATCTGGAACAATTCTTTCATTCTTCTCACCCCTACTCTGAATTTAACTAGTTTTTTTAAAAATCATATCATTTTTCCTCAGTTTGATATCCACACTAAAAAATAATTAAAAGAAAAAAAATCTAAAGCACTGTGTTTTGATTCACTGAAGCAAACATCAACAAAGCTGCCTGACATTACAGTTTATTTGGACGTTGTAACATTCTGGTGGACTGAAAGCAGAATCCATAGGTTTCCAAAGTGGGTGATACTGCTCCTTCGGGGGGGGGGGGCGGCGCTGGAATGATCCGGGGTGGGGGTGGTAGTAGCCTCAGGTACAGCTGGGGAGTGTTGAATAAAAATAAGGGGATGGTGGAAGCATAAGGAAAGAAAAAAATTTTGAAAAACCATTCGTACATGTTTCATCTGTTGTGTAACAGAGTTAAAGTAGTGATTACATTGTTTTCCAAATAAACACAGAAAATGCAAGTTAGAACCAATCAGTAGTCAAGTCTTCTGACAGGTCTTAATAAGAAGTGTTAGCAGGTGAGGGTGTTTTGCATTATTGGGAAGCCCAGCATTCATCAGCAGGGATATGTGCATATAATAACTTGTTTACAATATAATATTACATGGTTATATGACACAATATTGCATCATCAAAATTTCAATGCAAGAAAAAACCCACCCATTTACAATAAATTATTAAATTTAAGATACATCATTTAAAAAAATTTATATTTTTTGAAATGATGCAAACTTTTAAAAAAAACTATAAAGAAAATAGATTTCCAGGGGGGCACTGAGTAATTTTTTTTTAAAAAGGGGGGTAGGCCAAATAAGTTTGGGAACCCCTGGTCTAAATAGAAGGTGTGGAGCGCTATGGGTCACAAGTCTTGTTTTCTAGTACTAGCTCTACAACTTATTGTATGGTCCTGGGAACCTCTCTTGACCTTTGTAGTTTCCTCATGTAGAAAATAAGAGATTTGTAGTAGATGCAGGGGTCCTTAACTCAGACTTAACAAGGACTTAAAATTTTTTTGCTAACTATGTTTCAGTATTAATGGTTTCACTTGTAATCTTATGTTTTTTATGCATTTAAAAACATGAGTCTAGCACATGTCCATAAGCTTCATCAGGTTGCCAAAGAAGTCCTTGACACAAAAAAATCCTGTATCTCTACAGTCTGTTCTAGGTGTTATTGTTCAGTCATTTTTCCGTTGTGTCTGACTCTCTGTGACCCCATCTGAGGTTTTCTTGGCACAGATTCTGGAGTGGTTTGCCATTTCCTTGTCTAGCTCATGTTATAGATGGGGAAACTGAGGCAAACACAGTTAAATAACTTTCCCAGAGTAACACAGCCTGTAAGGGTCTGAGGCCAGATTTGAACTCATGCCTGGCACTCTAACCACTGTGCCACTTAGCTGCCCCTTTCCAGCTGTAGGAGTATGATTATAAATCTTTACCAGTTTAGCTTTATGTGTTTTTTCCCCTTCATTTGCAAATGTTTAAGTTCTTAAGAGTATAATCGGCTCTCAAATGAATTCAGATTATCTGAAATATAGATTATGCCATGTCCTTGGAGCCACTCAGCTAGCTAACTTCCCTCCCCTATATAATATTAGGATGTGGTTTCCTCAGTTTGCTAAAGTTTCCTTCTCTAGATATTGTGTTTTCTAAAATTTTCCCAAGACCCTATTGGTCTGCCTTCTCTCTTCTTCTTCTGTCTCAGTGTCACTTGGTGAGCTCTGAGAACTCTGAACTAAAGAGGGATAAGAAAAGCAGTGCTTTTTAAAATGGGCAATTACTATAAAGAAAATTTGTGATGATCCTTTAATAAAAAGTAATGCCTGCTATTTAAAGTCCCAAATTTTACTAATTTCCTCTTCAGATGGTCCTAACAAAGCACCTTATTTCTTTTTTCCACTATAACGATCTGCCTATTTATCAGCTTCCGCTGATGAATGGTGAGTGAGCAGGTTGATGATATAGTTAGTAGACATTTCTTTCATTTTACCAATGCAGCATCACCATCTTACGGCAAACACAGGCAACTGCAGACTACATAGTAGCTATTTTTGGGAGACATTTTTGACCCTTTCCAGTGGAATTTTCAGGAATCCATTTATTATGGTAAATTAGCAATTACCTGCTAGGAACAGTTTAATCTCCTAAGTGCTGAAATGGCAAGGGATATTACAAATTGAGACTTTAGGCCCTTTGGCAGGACAGGAGTATTCAAGGGCCAACTCTGAAATCTAAAACAGAATAAAGCTTCAGTTCAACAAACATTTATTAAGACCGACTATAAGGTGCAATGCTAGGTACTGGGGCTACAAAGACAAAAAAAGAAACAATTCCTTTCTTTAAGGAGTTTATATTCTATTTGGGGTAGTAGAATTTTAGAGTTGGAAGGGTCACCCCCCATCTTATATCTAAATATTTTCAATGAGTTGCCTAGGATCACAAAGGAATTAGCAGATATCCTGACTCCCAAGCTATAGCAGTTCTCTGTACCTCAAATAAATGTGCGTAAGATTAGTCAGTGCTTTTGCTGAAAAGACCGGTTTACATGACCACCTGTTCAAATCAACTCAAACTCTAAGTATCACTTGTCAACTGCTTGCTTTAAGAAGTTCAAACTATACAACCAAAGGAAAAACTCAACTAGCACAAAGCCAGAAGGATTGTCACCTGAAAGGTTACATAATATGAGCAAACTGAGGAAGAGGGCTCCCATGTTACATTTAAAAGACATTTAACTCACAGCATCGTGCTAACCAACTGAGGTAAATGTAGTCATTTTTCATCTTCTCACTCTGGATCAAAAGGAACACCTGAGGGGAAAAAGTCAGGATGTAAACCAGGATGTATTTTCAATAAAGACAGATATGCCCCCATCAGCCTGCTTTGTTTGAGATGCTGTACTGTTTTCTATTGCCAAAAATCCAAGAGCTGCTGAGGGAAAGTGATGGAGGAGAGGTGATGAGTTAAATGGTTTAGAGCAAGGATTCCCAATCTTCTTTGGTTCCTGGACCTGCTGACTTTCAAGAAACCTTCCTACATCTACTATTCAACAGGAAAGGAAATAAATTCTAGAGTTTACCATGGATATGTACATAAGAAATAAAGAGCTAGGACAGTACAATTTTTTACCAAATATTTCCCATATGCCCCTTGACAAGTTCCCTGAGGGGAAAGCACACCCTTATAACCCAGGTAATCCCTGGTTCAGAGTATGAGACTGAAATTGACCAGAAATATCCTAAAGCTGCCTAGGAAGACAAAAATCAAAAAGACAAAAGTAATATCTAAAAATCATGTCTACGATATAATTAAGAAATGTTCCACATAAGTGACTTTTCCCAGATAACTGAAGTTTAACCCTTGTAGTTACCAAACTTTATTTTTATAGCAATGTCTCTAAAATGTATTCTGCATTCTTTAGCTTCTTAAATAGAGGAAAATGAAAATAATTATCTCTTCTGTATATTCATAGTTGTGTGATATTATACTTTTTCGGGTTTTTCCCTGTCTCTGCCTGAGCTAACAGGCCACTGGCCATCACTTTTCATAGCTACTGCTTTGTCTGTGATCTGTTTAAGTCTGTCCTTTCCTCTAGATATGCTTAGGGCTGGGAAGCCAGTGAATAAAACTTATTAAGAATTGTATTAGGGGGCGGCTGGGTGGCGCAGTGGATAGAGCACCGGCTCTGAAGTCAGGAGGACCTGAGTTCAAATCTGGCCTCAGACCAAACACTTGACACTTACTAGCTGTGTGACCCTGGGCAAGTCACTTAACCCCGACTGCCTAAAAAAAAAAAAAAGAATTGTATTATAGATATAATTAAATAAGTTCAGGAGAGGCTACAAGCATCTCCTACATGGCTTAGTTGTGACAGCTATTTTCATTTCCTTCTGCAGTAGGGGGTAGTAATGTTTTCAGTATCCCAGGGCTAAGTGACTAGTATTTGCCTAATAATCTTTTTCTAAAAAGTTTAAGAATATAGCGTTCAAAGTGGACTTTTAACTTAATTGTTGAATGTTTCCTTCATTGGAGTCCTGCTGAGTTGGTTGGATGTGTTCTGTAAAATGTACTGAAGTCCTCCAAGAATAGGTCTTGTCCTACTTCTGAGAAAACGATACATTTTATTTCTCACGGAGAAAACTAGATTGTTCTACCAGCTTCAAAGAACACAAGAGGGCCATTTCTACTTCACCTGCAACTCCTTTTTATACAGGGTCTTTCTCCCAGCAACCACATGAAAATAGCCACATTTTGAGAGTTATGAAATGATAATATGCCAAATGATCACTAATACTTTAACAAGAGTGTAACTCTTAGGTGACTGTTGATAAGGAAAGTTGCTTGACACTATGAAAATCAGGTAAAGATAAAACTGCTCTCATAATAAGTTTATAAACTCTTCAGGGGTAGTTGGGTTGCTTTATTCAGAATTCAGTTTAATTGAACATTTTTGATCTCCTACTTTCTGAAGGACTTACAATCTACTGTGTTCAGTACCACAAATATGTATACTATTCAAATTGTTATGAGACTAAGGAAAGATCCAGGCAAAGTACTTGAGGAAAATATATAGGAAAGATGACTTTTAGCTGGGCAATTAGTAAAGGCTTCATAGAGAAGGTGACACCTGCACCTTGAAGGAAGAGAAGATTTCAACAAGTAGAGACAAGAAAGAGATGCTCTAAGTATTGGAACATGCCTCAGGGAATGAATGGGTGGGAGCAGAATGAAGAACAAGTTAGGGGAACTTGTCTAATCCAACTGAAATGCAGAATTATATAGGTATTCAGAACGTAGTCCTGATGTTAAAAGATATATTTTCTTTCTTTTTTCTAATTCAATTTTATCCTCAGCTTTGAGTTCGCTCCCTTTTCCCTTCCCCTCATTGAGAAAGCAAGAAAAACAAAACCCATTACAAATGTGTATAGTCAAGCAAAACAAATTCTCTTATCAGTAATGTACAAAACAAAATAACCTGAATCTACGCTAGGTCCATCACCTTTCTATCTGGTGATGGGTGGCATGCTTCATCATGAGTTCTCTGGAATTGTGGTTGGCCATTAAAATAATATTTTGAAAAGCAAATACCTACCTCCTCACCCTCACTGGTGTTTCCTGTGGCAGCTTTGGCTTGTGCATAATTAAAATTAAAGGTGTCATCATTGTAGAAATAACTCTGAAAAACAGCCCAAGCACAGATAATTCAGAGCATTATTATGTTAAGTGAAGTCTCAGAATAAGTTATAAAAAGTAATAGAAAAAGAGCATATTTATGATTTCATGAAGCACCCTCTGGGGCATTCTCCCAATGATCCAGGCTGGAAAATGAATTATTCTTGATATCCAACACCTTCTTCCCAGGGCTCATCCTGTCATTTTTATTTGTCATATTCATTGCACATCTTTCTTACTCTTCTCTTCCTTTCCCTTCTCACTGTCACCATTAGGTCCTCACCATCTTGTACCTGTACTATTCTAACAATCTCACCTAGCTTCTGTCAAGACTCAGCTCAAATCTCACCTTCTGCAGGAGGACTTTCCTACCCCATCCCCCTTTGTCTCTCATTTCCCTATACCCCCCATCACCCACCCCACACCCAGTGTCTTTTCTTTGAGATTATCTTCCATTTACACATAAGGTATCTTGTATATATAATTTTATTCATGTTTTCTCCCCCATTAGAATGTGAGCTCCTTGAGGGCAGAATGGACTGTGTTTTTGTCTTTCTTTTATTCTCAACACTTAACACAGAATGTGGCATGTAGTAAGTGCTTAATAAATGCTTGTTGACTGATGCGAACTGGTTTTCTTGTTCCATTCTCTCCTATAGTCTCTCCTCATCCCATCTAAATGTCCTACATATTACTTTCACATTAGGTTCCCTAAACACCATTTTCACTATGCTACCACCCCGCCCCCAACCTTGCCCTTTTACTCAAAAGTCTTCAGTGCTCCTCCACTGCCTACAGGATAATTTTCAGCTCCCTCAACCAGACATTAGAGATCCTTCACAATTTGAAGAAAATTACTTCTCCACTTGTATCCTTTACCCTTTTACGACTCCATCACATCATCCTTTTTAAACCAGAAAAACTGGTCTATTCATTGCTTCATTCTTGCTTGCAATGTTCTTCTCTTCTGAACTTTGGTAAGGAAGGCTGTCTGCCTTTAAAGTCCAGTTCTTCCTAAATGTCCTCACCCACAATGAACTCTCTCTACTGAACATCTGTGACTCAGAATGTCATGCTTTGGCACTTTCTTGTGCTGTATTTTTACTTTATTTTCTAAGTCCTAGCTTCCTAACTGGATTGAAAACTCCTTCAGAGTAGTGAATTGTTACATGTTTCACAGCATAGCTCCATGCAGACAGCAGGCATTCAATAAACGTTGTGCTTGAGAACAGGAATAAGATATGTACGTATGGTCTACCTGTCTTCTAAAAGGCTATTCATTATTTGTGTGGTGAAAGCTTGAGGTTGTGGAAAGATATGGTGATACTCTGGAGTGTAAAGATGGGAAATAAAATGAGAGTTTTGTGAACAGGTTGTCAATGTCTTTGAAGCTTCAGGTAACTCAGGGAGCTGGGAAGAAGAGAGAAATGAGAGAATGAAAAGATGTGGACACTAAATGCAATGTGTTAGTCTGCAAGAAAAACTTAAGGGTCAGACATAAAGTCCATTTTTACCAATGTTGCCACTTATTAATTTTAAGATTAAGAAAATTTGGTGGGTTTCCATGAATGTAGCTGAGATTTCTTCCATTGAGAACTACCTGTCCATATTCTTTGACTACTGGAGAATGGCTGTCATTCTCATATTTTAGTCAGTTCTCTGTGTATCTTAGATATCAGACCCTTATTAGAGAAATGTGCTACCGCAGAGATTTCTTTACAGCTAATTGTTTCCAACCAATTTTAAGTGCATTGATTTTGTTTGTGCAAAACTTTTGAATTTTATATAATCAAAACTGTCCATTTTATCTTCTATCATCCTCTCTATCCCTTGTCTGATTATATACCCTGCCCCTATCGATTGTTACTATAGGTATTTACTTCCTTGCTCCTCTAATTTGTTTGTGATGTAACTTTTTATATTTAGTTCATATATCCATTTGGAGCCTTTTGTTGAATCATGAGTTATTACTCCAATAATTGAGCTTTTATTGAACACTCTGCTACTATATTTGTTTGCTTCTGTATGCTCTGTACTCTACTCTATTCCAGTGGCTACCTTTCTATTTTTTTCAAACCAGTACCAAATAGTTTTGAAGATTACTGCTTTGTTGTTGTTACTGTTTGTCCTTCGTTTCTGAAGATAAGCAATCACATCATGATGTTGGGGTAAAATAATAGATGATGGATGATGACTTGAGCATGAATTGGATTTAAGGGCAATTCCAAAAGAAGAATCCCAAAGATGTTCTGAGCAACTGCAGCATTGCTAGAATAAGTGCACAGGCTCCCAAAGTGACTAGGTTGAGGACTAATATACATTTGGATGTCCAAATTCTTTACTGTATAGTCACATCTTCTGTGTGTTTGCAGACATAGAAGCACCTGAGTATTTACATATATACATATTTATGCACATATATGTAAATTAAATTTTGTTTCCTGAGTGAACCTATGAGTAAGATGGTGCCCTACCCAGCTCAATACTATTTCTCAGCCTACTGTGAGTTAATATGTTTGTGTTCTGAAATGCTGATAATTTTGTGCAATTGCTCAAATGTAATCTCACCCCCTCCACTTTTCCTTTTCAGTTCTAGGCTCAATTCATTGTCCATTTGGAGGGCTCTTTGGGTTGGACAGATAAATTATGCCAATAATTTTGGCAATGAACCAATGAAAAGACATGGACACAAATCACACAGGATAGAAAAAAGTTACAGTTGCAGATTTTCAGTAATGAAATCCAAAGGCAATCATGAACTGACCCAGCGGACTATCTGTTCACTATTTGTTAGACGTTCCCTTGATTCATTCCCTTAGTAATCCTACTAAGTCAATTTATTTTACATGTTTGTGGATCTCCCAGGATAATAGATGGGTACAAAGCATTATTTATAAAGAAAAAAACTTCAGGTGATTCACAAGACAATCAAAAGAAATCTGTTTGGCGGGTGCTGCGGAAGCCGTCTCCTAAGGCCTGGATGAGGCTAGCTTTTCCTTGTTGTTTGGTGCTCTTCATCTTTCATCCTCAGGGAATTTTTCCTTAAGAAGTACTCAAAGAGATACAATTGGTTTAGCGGACTAAGGCTTGGGCCACTGACAGCTTCCTGATTTCCTGAATACAAAAACATTCAGGCCTGAAGGACTTTAGCTCCTCCTTGGGCTTCTAACCACAGATCAGCAACATTAATATCACTAAGAAGCGGTGCTCAACTGGTTTAATGCTTTAGTCTCAATTAATATCCTTTCCCTAATTTCCTGAATTCCCTAATAATCACTTGCAGAGCTATGGCTAAGGAAAACTCCATTTGTCAATTGTTAGATGGACTTCCTTTTGTCCCTTAGAACAAATTTCCCTTCATTCTGGACTTCTTCCTCTTACATATCTTCCATCTACTTTCTCTCATTGTTAACACTACATTCCTGACCATCTTCTCCAGCACTAGCAGTCTCATATTCTTTGACACACTAGTCCTACTCACTGCCACTTGCATATTCTCATTCTGCTGCCATTGCTCAGTAACCAATCCTTGAGCATAAGTATTTTTCATTCTTGGTATCTGTATCCCCAGCATACAGCAAAGTGTCAGCGCAAAAAATAGACAACAAATGCTTGTTGATTGACTAACATGTAGAAGGAATTTCTGTTATGACCTATTTTGGAGTACAGTGACCTCTGAGGTCTTTTCTAACTCTGGAGATTCTGTGAATCAGAATTTTTTTTTATTGGACACAAAATAAATTTATTAAATTTCAATGGTTCACTCTTGCCTCAAGGATTGAATATAAGTGCCTCTAGTTTTTAAACCCTTCACCATGTAGCTGCAACCTAACTTTCCAAACTTATCATACTTCCCCTTCCTGTTCTCTAGTCTAGTCAAACTGGCCTTACTGTTTCTCACATCTCACACTCCAGCACTCATTTCTGCATTTAGCACAGACTCTTTCCTGTCTAGAATGAACTCCCACCTTACTTTTGTCCCAATTTCTTTGAAACTCTGCTCAAGACACTCCTTCTATGTGAAACCTGTGTCCTTATTCTCAAGTTGCTAGTTCTTCCTTTACATAAATTTACCTTGCCTATATTTCACACATTAAAGTAGTTCCAACAAACAGTGAAGAGGGCCTAAACTGCGATAGTATAAATGGAAATGAAAAGGAGACAAATACAAGAGATATTGCAAAACAGAATAGAAGACAGACATAGATAGAATAGATATTGCAAAATAGAAGGCCCTGGCAACTAACTGGATATCAAGGAGAGAGTAATGCTCCAAAATTTCTGGCAGTAAAGAAGCATTAATCTAAATAAATACCTAAATAATAACCTAATAATAATAATAAATAATAATCTAAATAAAAGGTACCAATGAGGTAAGACTATTCTGTAAAGATAAGAAATAACAAAAAGAATAATATGGAGGTTAAAAGTGATTTCTAGAAGCTGAAAAGATTTTCCAGTGGTATAAGATTCAAAATAAAGTCAATTTTTTGTTGCCTAATAAACTTCTATGTTTTACTTTACTACTTTAGTGCAGAAGCTAGGTGGTAATTCATAGAAACTCTGGGAAAGTAGGGAGAATATAGAGTAGGAGATGTTAATCTAGTTCTCTAGTGCTTAAAAAAAAAAAAGTTCTGAGGCTCATATCAGTCTGTAAACCCCTGCCTCTTAATCCACAATAAGGCAAAGGAGTGTAGCCACCATTCTTATCATGCTTCAATATCCATCCCCACCCCACAGACTTAAGTCTGCCTTTCGTGTTATTAAGGGGAAATTGTAAGAGATGAAGAACAAAAAAAGGATAGAAGTGATGAACAAATTCTTGAGAATCTCTCATAATAATTAAAATTAATCAATCACATGATTAAAATTCTTAAGAGAGAACTGCAAATATATAGATGAGAAAATGACTAGCTCTCTTGGAAGAGAACTGGACAGGACCAAAGGATTTAGAGCTGGAAAAGATAATCTTTATCCAACTAGTTCAACCTCTTTCTTTATATATGAACCCCTTAAAATATCTCCAACATTTTCAGAGTCTGTGTAGAACTAGAGTTGTGTAGAACTCATTACTTCCCAAAGCAGCCCATTCTAGTTTTGGAATTATGGAAAAGGCCTTCTAAATTACTTTTAATTAAATTTTTAACTTACTGGGTTTAGGTAGGTCAAATTTATTAGAGAGTTACTTTTTGTTCTGTATGTAGACATTAAAGTATACTGTAATGCTTATAATATATTATCTACTTTATAGGATTCAAAGTCAATTTTTATGCTTAAATGTATGGTTGAATTTTTAATGTTTAAGTTATTTAGGAGGTTTGGCTGACAGCAAGCTAATAATTAAGGTGAAATTTAACTTTTTTATATTTATCTATAGCATGTGCATTACTTCATACACTATGTCTAAGTCCACAGTACTCATAGTTTCTGCAATAAAATACTCACAGCACTTTGGTTCATGTTCCTGAAACAGCTTAAACTGACTTTACCGATCCATCCTGGTACTCTGGTTGTAATTCTATTTTTATGGCACATTGTTGGTTATTTCTAGGATTCAAATGACACTGAGTCCTTGACAAGGAATGAAACCCCAATATGATATTGTTTTTATAGGGAAAATATGACTCATTTTTAAAAATGGTTTTAGGGACTCATTTTAATTTGTAGAAATTATAGATTCTATTTACTCATAGACTCATAGAACCAAAAATTAAAAGTGAGGACTACTTACATTCTTCAGGTCCTTGAGTACTTAGCTGAAGTCAATGTAAAGCCTATCTCTTCTGACAGTCTATCTAAAACTAGTTTGTTTGTTTGTTTGTTTTTTTTACCTCAAATTCCCTTTCTACTACTTAAATGAAAAGAATGAAAAAAAGGGGTCTTATCTTCCACCAAGCATTAACTATAGGCAGTTTCCTATACATGTCTATGCTGAAAATGCTATACTAACCTTGACAGAATTGAGGTAAATCAAGACATCATCAAATTGTCGAAGCAGGAAGAAGCAGGAAGCCATGCATTGTCTCCCTGGTATTGTATCTGTAGCAGAAGATAACAGCGTGTAAATTTAAAAGGCAAACATTTCATTTGACCTGAAGTTTAAGTGATTTAATCAAAACATTTTCCCATAATCTTCAATCAGCCTAATATGTTCAAATTTCAAATTGTCTCCTTTTGACTCTCTTCTTTTCCTCTGGTATCTGATATCCACAAGACTTTGGTCAATGGCTGCTACGCCTTGAGGTGAGCCTGTTCTGCTGTATCTAGTCTCGCTGACAACTACGTGCATTAGGAAAGAGGAATAGAAGCAATACAGTCAGCTTTGACCAGTAACACACAGGAAGAATAGAAACTGGAATGGAATCTTCAGCTCTCATTTTGGTTGTGTTAGTCTTCTCTCTACCATAGGGCTCATTATCAGTTGTTGTGCAGTTCTTTTCAGTCATGTTCAGTTCTTCATGACCTCATTTGGGGTTTTCTTGGCAAAGATAATGCAGTGGTTTGCCATTTCCTTCTCTAGCTCATTTTACAGATGAGGAAACTGAGGCAAACAGGGATTTGCTCAGGGTCACACAGCTAGTAAGTGTCTGAGGCCAGATTTGAACTCATGAAGAATTGTCTTCCTGACTCCAGGCCTGGTGCTCTATCCACTGCACCACCTAGCTCCCACAGGGCTACTACAATTCAGTCCAATACAACAAGAATTTTTTAGGAACTTAGAATGTGCAAGGCACTTTGCTAAGCACTGGAATTACACAGAAAATGAAAAACAGTTCCTGTCCTCAAGGAGTTTACATTTTAGTGTAAAATAATAAGAGCAGGTTGGTGACCTCTGATCCATTCATTTATCTTCAATTAAGTGGTAAATATTGTGCTCAGCACAGTTAAGCATCAAAGGGATGCTTTTATATAGAAATATAAAACACAGTCCCTATCCCCAAAGAGAATACAATCCATTGGGAGGGGGAAGGGCCAAGATTAACACAACAGGAACAAGAGCAAACAAGACAGGATGGTCTATAATTAAATACTAGTTTATGAAGCATAGGGGTAGTAGAGCAGAAAGGAGTAGAAATGTCTGGGAAGACTCTGGGAGGAGATAGGGTTTAGAAGATGAATAGGAAGAGATGAGACTGTTTAGGGTGAAAACTCAAATCCTTCACTGAGGAACAACAATATAAGTAGAGGAGAGAGGGAAAAAAAATTCCAGGTGAAGGGAACTCTGTGAATGAAAGTAGGAATTCATTCAACAAATATATATTGAGTCAAGGGAATGAACATACATAGTGAAAGGACAGTAAAAACAAAAAACAAACTGGCCTAGCTAGAACGGAGAGTGGGGACTACTAGGAAACAAGGTCAAATAGGTAGAACATGGTCAGTTTATGGAAGGCCTTGAATGTCAAGCAGAATTTAGATTTATTTCAGGAGGAAACAGAGAGATTTTGAAAACTTTTGACTAAGAAAATAACATGAAAACAGCAATACTTGAAGAAATTTAGTCTAGGAACTATATAATTTAGGAAATATTATAAGGCGGCCCACTTCAAATGCTAACTTTTCCCAATTCCTCTCATTAGAAATATACTCTCTTTTTGAAATCTGATAGTACTTTGTTTTGTATCTCTCTTACACACACAGAATATTCTTTTTTGTATTATATTTGTATGTATTTTCAATGCTTCCTATGGCCTACTTGACTTCATTCTCCAGGATGTCTGGCTCTAGATCAATAACCACACCATCGTGGTTATCGTTGACATTAAGATCTTTCTTGTATAGTTCTTTTGTGTATTCTTGCCACCACTTTTTAATCTCTTCTGCTTCTGTTAGATCCTTACGATTTTTGTCTTTTATCATGCCCATTTTTGCATGAAACTTTCACTAGATAATGCTAACTCTCTTGAAGAGAGCTTGCCTTTTCCATTCTATTGTTTTCTATTTCTTTGCATTGTTCACTTAAGAAAACCTTATCTCTCCCTGCTAGTCTCTAGGGATTCTGCATTCAGTTGGACATATCTTTTCCCTTTCACTTTCCTTCTTTCCTCAGCTATTTGTGAAGCCTCATCAGAGAGCCATTTTTGCTTTCTTGCTCTTCATTTTCTTTGGAATGTTTTTTGTTGCTGCCTCCCATACAACATGGTGACTCTCTATCCATAGTTCTTCAGACATTTTATCTACCAGATCTGACCCTCTAAATCTATTCATCACTTCTGCTTCATATTCATAAGGGAGGTTAAGTCATACCTATATGGTCTCATGGTTTTCCTTACTTTCTTCAATTTGAGTCTGAATTTTGCAATAAAAAGCTCATGATATGATCCACAGTCAGCTCCAGGTCTTGTTTTAACTGACTGCATAGAGTTTCTCCACCTTTGGATGCAAAGTACATAATCAATCTGATTTCTATGTTGACTATCTGGTGATGTCCATGTGTAGAGCTGCCTTTTGAGTTGTTGAAAAAGAATGTTTGTTATGACCAGCAAGTTATCTTGACAAAACGATATTAGTCTTTGCCCTGCTTCATTTTGTACTCCAAGGCCAGATTTGCCTGTTAGTCCAATTATCTTTTGATTTCCTACTTTAGCATTCCAATCTCCTATGACAGATGTGACATCTTTTTTTGGTGTTGTTTTTAGATGTTGTAGGCTTTCGTAACACTGATCAACTTTGGCCTCTTCAGCGTCAGTAGTTGGGACACAGACTTGTGATAATGTGATACTGAACTATCTGCCTTGGATTTGAACAAATAACATCTGGTCGTTTTTGAGATTATATCCCAGTACTGCTTTTTTCACCCTTTTGTACACCATTTCTTCTAAGGGATTCTTGCCCACAGTAGTATATGTAGTGATCGTCTGAATTTAACTTACCTATTGCCATCCATTTAAGTTCACTGACACTCAAGCTGTTGTTGTTCAATCTTTCCATCTATTGTTTGATTGCATCCAGCTTACTTGGATTCATAGATCTTACAATCCAGGTACCTATGCAACACTGATCTTTATACAGCATCAGACTTCCCTTTCGTCACCAGATGCATGCACAGCTGAGCTTCCTTTCAACTTTGGGCCAGCTGCTTCATTAGTACTGGAACTACTTGTAGTTGTCCCCTACCCTTCCCCTGTAATATACTGGACACTTTCCAACATGAGGGGCTCATCTTCCACTGTCATCTCTTTTATCATTTTAGTACTGTCCATGGGGTTTTCTTAGCAAAGATACTGGAGTGGTTTGTCATTTCCTTCTCCAGTAGATCACCTTTTGTCAGAACTCTCCACTATGACTTGTCCATCTTGGGTAACCCTGTATGGCATAGTTGATAGTTTAATTGAGCTACACAAGCCCCTCTACCACGATAAGGCAGTTGGCAAGGACACTGTCTTGTTCATGTTTGTGTCCTCCTTAGGGCTAACCCTTTAGAAATACCAATTTTAAAAGGAGCTTGAATCAGAGAGGCCAGTCAGTAGGTTGCTACATCAGTCCAATTATTGGGACAAAAGAGTTAGGGCACCAGGAAGAGCTATGAAGTAAGCAGCTGGTTGGGATAAGCAATGAGAGTAAAAGGGAAGGGGAAGGAAACAAGTATTTATTAAGCATCTAGTATATCATTTAATCTCACTGGAGAAAAGAGAAAGGAAATCAAATGATGCCAAACACAATAATCAGAATTAGGAGAATTACTGATATAATAACAATAACATTATAAAGACAAACAACCTTGAAGGATTTAAGAATTCTGATCAATGCTATGATTCCAAAGGACTTATGATGATGCATGCTGCCCACTCCCAACAGTGAGGTAAATGGCTCGACGTGAATGCCAAATGAGCTATGTACTTTTGAACGAGGTCAATGTGGAAGTCTATTTTGCTTGATTATGTATATTTATTACAAGGGTTTTGTTTTTTTTCTTTCTAATGGGGAGGAAGGAAGGAAAGAAAATAAATACTTGTTAATTGAAAAAATAAAATTTTAAAAGATAAAGAAAGAGGCAAAGTTGATGAATGTTAGAATTTTTTTTCAGAAGACATTCTCACAGATAAGAGTACAGCTATTATTTACATTAAGGGGTTGGTAGGAATCTGCTAATTGATGACCAAGCCTACTTGAACAAAAGATAACAAGTAGAAAGTTCTAGAAAAGGCAAGAAAATCCCTATATTAGGCTATTTTCAATAGATCCTAAGGCAACACGTGGTGTTTTCATCACTACCATTTAACGAAGGGCTCTTTTTTTTTTTGCTTTTTGGTGAGGCAATCAGGGTTAAGTGACTTGCCCAGGGTCACACAGCTAGTAAGTGTCAAGTGTTTGGTCAGAGGCCAGATTCGAACTCAGGTCTTCCTGACTTCAGGGCCAGTGCTCTATCCACTGTGCCACCTAGCTGCCCCCCTAATTTGTCACCATGAGTTTTGGTGGGATGTAATGCATGGCTGTAATGCCATAATGGAAAATTATACTTTATTCAAAAGAAAACACAAAGTAAAGAGGGCAGTTGAGTAGAACCAGTTAAGAATAACCTAATTAACCTGTGGAAGTCCATAAACTATAAGTGGGAAGCATCTGAGAATCAAAAAGGGACAAGCAGAAGTATTACTGCAGTAGAAGTCAAAGATGCCCATAGCTCTCTCATCCTCAAAAAGCCCTCACTTGATCTGTCCATCCGCACTAACTGATTCTGTATCTCTTCTCCCTTTCGTGGCTAAACGCCTGGAAAAGGCCATCTACCATCACTGCGTCCACTTTCTTTCCTTCCACTCGTTTTTTTCTGGCTTTGGACCTCATCTTCAGTTTTGTTGAACCAGTCAAGCTTATAAAGCATTTTAAATGCGAAAGAGAGTGATCTCTGTTTTATTCCAGAGACAAAAGAGAGCCACTTCTTAAGGAGTGACTTTGCTTTAGGAATATTAATTTGAGAGCTATGTGAAGGCTGTAATATAGAGGAAAAATACTGAAGACAGAGAGATCAATTAGGAAGTCATTACAATAATAGACAATGATAATAGAAGTTATGAGGCCCTAAATTAGGATGGCCATGGTATAAATAGAAAAGGGGACGTATGGAAGAAAGGTTGAGGAAGTGGAAGGGATAATATTTCTACCTGACTGGATATGGGGAATAGAAAGAGAATGAAGAATTGAGAATGACTCCTAAACTGAGAACCTAGAAATGGACAAATAGACAAGTTATGAGTAGGGATAGATTTAGGGGGAAGGATAATTAATTCTGTTTTGGACATGTTAGGTTTGAGATATCAATAAGCTATCTAGGTAGAGACAGATATTAAATAGTTGGAGATTTGGGACTAGAACTCAGGAGATGAGAGGCCTGGAGTCGAACCCATAGGAGCTGATAAGATCACCAAGAAAGAGTGTAAAGAGAGAGAAAGGGAAAGGCTAAGGACATAATCTTGGGATACACCCATTCAGAGAGGCAATACACTGATGATAACGAACTGGCAAAGGCCTGACAAATAGGAAGAAAACTAGTTTATAAAAACCCAGAAAAAAGAGAGTATCCAGAAGGATGAGGATGTCAACAATATGAAATACTGCAGAAAAGTAAAAAAATATCAGGACTGAGGAAAGGCCATTGGATTTAGTAATAACGAGATCACTGGTGACCTTGGAAAGAACAATTTCAGCCAAGTGGTGGGATTAGAAGACAGGCTACAAGAGCCTAAGAAATGAGTAGGACATGAGAAAGTGGAAGCAAGGAGCAGAGATTTTTTTCCCCTAGGAGTTTGTTAAAAGGAGAAAACATATGGGATAATAGCTTGAAGAGTTGGTAGGGTCAAGAAAAGAATTTTTAATGATGGAGATCTGGACATATCTGAAGGCAGTAGGTAAGGAGTCAGTAGGTAAGGAGTGGTTGAAAAGTGGGGAAAAGGGAAGATATAAGGTCCAAACTCTTGGAGAGACTACTTTAATTGCTATGTAGTTGAAAAAGCAGAGAATTTGAAGTCAAATTGCCACTTATTATCAGTTTGATCTTAGGCAAGTCACCTCACCTTGAAGGGGAGGAACCAGATGATGTCAGAATTTCCTTCCTGTCCTAAACAGATATCATATGAAACAATAAATGATACAAAGAGAATGATACTGGGTAGCTGAAAAATGCAACCTAAACTTTAGATAAATAGGTTTCAGAATTCAGAGAAAGGATGAGGTAGGATTCCATGTTTTAGGATTTTACACAGGAAATCAGTTCAAGGATGACAGGCTTATTTCAAGAACAAAATTCTAATAACACAAATGGTTTAAGCAAGAAAGAAAAGAGGGAGCTGCTTAGAAAGACCAATATCGGTGCACACGAAATTACACAACTACATTTAGTTGACCTATCAGTCAACTAAGAATAGAGAACAGAGGCAAAAGGTATATAAAGATAGATACATGAAAATGTCAGGAACATGTAAGGCAATAATGAACGGGGGGTTGGGATGGATGTAATGGGCAATAAGGCCTTTTTATTTTTAATATATTCTACAAAAGGAAAATAGAAAGTAATAGAACCATTGCTTAGGGTGGAAGGTAGATTTATGATGATAACTAAAGATCAAGATAATAAGGAACTATTGTGTTGCTTCTGTTTCTTCTACTAAGAAGAATGGTTTTCAGATTAGGATACAGAATAAAAATAGTTAACAGGAAAATGAAAACCAAGTTAAGTGAGAAGATTCTAAGAGAATACATAACTTGAGTTCCAGCACTGGACTAGGGAGCATGCAATTCCCTCTTCTCCCAGAACTTACTGTCACATGAGAAGAAAAATACCAACTCTACTTAAATCACCAAACCATCTGAGAAAACAATTCTTCAGCTCTCAGGTCCCTTCAAGCTCCATGGGGGATGGATTTTAGATAGGGTGCAGCAGACTCATATATGTGGAGGTAGAACTCAATCTGCCCTGTGCCTACCATGACTGATTGAAAAAACAGTAATGCTTTACCCTTCTGTAACCATTAGTAGGAGCCACCACTGACATCTAAGCATCTATATCTCTTTTCTCCATCATTAGAACTAAGATGGTAGAGTTTTAACTCCTAACCCTCCCTTCACCCCTGTTGTCATATGTAGAAGAATCATGTACTCTACCATGCTTCAGTGAAGCATCTGAAAAAAGCAACAATTCCTCCAGTCTCCAATAACCATGAAAATCCCAGATACCACAACAGCCTTGTCCAGGCTAGTCTAGGAACCAAATGCAAACACCATGTATAGGTTGTATTACAAGTGAGCATCAGCCTCCATCAACTTAGGATGAGGCAAAGGAATGCATGAGTTCAGTCATGTCCTGGAGGGAGAAGGAGGAGGGGCAAAAGAGGGAGAACCTATTCATCACATATTTATGAATCCAGAAGCTTGACCTAATCTCCTTGCTAGTTTAATTCCTTATTTCCTGATGTTTGAGAGAAAATAGACTAGTAGTGGCTTCTGGCACCACAGGGTTCTAGAGGGTAGGAGCTTCAGTTAACTAGCACTTTTCTTATGGCTAGTAAATTCCCAACCTCTCCTTCTCTAATGATTTATATTATCTGTCTTCCATATTGAAAGTCTCATCCATTCTCTTGCTACCATTCCTCACCCCTTCATCCTCAACCACTTCAGATAGCCTCCATATCCTTTCCTCCTCTGCCTTCTCCCTTCCATTATGCCCTCTGGAACACTCTTTCTATGGTTATTAAACTTCCTTTCAAGCTAAATTTCTTCCTCTCACACTCTTTCCATCTTATTGTACTGACTGAAATCTGGCTCGCAGTGGAAGAAGGTTACTTTTACTACTGTGGGTAAAGGTAAAACTAACAGCCATTTATAAATAAGGCTTAGAGGAGGTCACAAAAGACAAAACAGATACTTTTCAGAATATGAAGTTTTAAAGCTTTTGTATGAACAAAATAACTGCAACTAGAATAAAGAGATATATAGTAGAGGAGGAAAATGTCTTTACTAAATTTCTCAGGGTAAAGAACCTATTGTTCCTTTTCTTTGCTTAGACATCTGGACCAATGACGGGTGCTTATAAATGGCTTCTTTAATCTACGCTATCAAAGACAGTATAGATTTCAGACATACCACATTCACTAGCTGATCCACCCACCAACTGGAAGAACTGCTGGGCAATTTTCAGATGATCCCTCTGAAAGACAAAGAAATAGTTTCATTAGAAAAATAAGCAGAGTATCCATATTTTTAATAAGAAAATAATAATAATATCATCTTATTGCTGGCTATTCTTTTGAGGTTTAAAGTATCTTCATATATAGAATTTCATTTGGTCCCTGCAGAAATTATTGATCTTATTGCTAATGAGAAATTGGCAAACTGAAACCGAAGAAAATTTGCATAGGGTTTTATAGACAAAAAGGGAAAAATCAATCAGCAAATAAGTACTCAATGTCTGATACACACCAGGGAACTGAAAGCATCATTCACATCAACAAAACATATTTTAATTTGATTTTTATTTTCAATTCCACATTAACATTTTTTTAAAAAAGAAAAAGAAAAATATATCTCAATTCTGAAGTACAATTATACTGTAACCTGTCTTTGAAAAGGGATTGTTATGTTCAATCAAAGGAGGCCGAGTATGTTTATATTTATACATTATCATTATTAACATCTTTATTCTATGAATAAATAAAGAACATGAAAAATGACAGTGTATGAGAAGAGCTTTGAAAAGTATTAAGTTCTATGTAAATTAAAATATTATATATAAAGGCTGGTACACATAAATATCAGAAAAGCAATGGGTTTTTACAGGGAGTTGATATTACCCTCATCATCCAACATAGTACTGTTGGGATGTCTGTACAATTTTTAAAATCTTTATCTGCTACATGATTAAATACAAACTTGGAGTGGGGAGCTATAAAACTATGCTATGATTGATCTTACTTGACAGGAGCAATAATTATGGATGTAGCTTGTTCAATGCAAAATGATAATTGTCAGTGTTAAGGAAAAGCGGCAATTGTTTGCTAAAAAGCCCGTAATATTTTTTTGGAATGTAAGTTGATAGTAGATGTATAGAAATGAATGGTATTACAAAATAACATATTCATTTTGAAAACCACTATCAATCGCATTTTGATCCTTATAATCATCCTTTCTATTTGCTATAAAGCTATAAAGTCATGAATACCAGAGATTTTATACTCACCAAACCCATTTCTTGTCCAAGAGCTGCATTAACCACCCCCTTGAGGATGTATTCCTAGAAATATAGAATTATTATTTTAGTAAAGATAGGAGAGACATGATAGGGGTGTTGAGTCAATCGTGTCCAACTTTCTGTGACCCCATTTGAAGTTTTCTTGGCAGAGATACTGGAGTGGTTTGCCATTTCCTTCTCCAACTCATTTTACACATGAGGAAAATGAGGCAAATAGTATTAAGTGACTTGCCCAAGGACACAGCCAATAAGTGTCTGAGGCTGGATTTAAACTCAGGTCCTCCTGACTCCAGGGCCAGCACTCTATCCACTGGGCCATGTAGCTGCTCCTAGGTTTAGGTAGGATCTTTCAAATTCAATTCTAATACCTTCTATACTCCTCCTAACCTAGTGTGTTTTTTTACCTAATTCTAGCAATATATACCCAAAAGATATTTCTTAGTTTTTTAGTCTAGTTCCCAAGAGACACAAGTCTACATGTTAAAATACCCTACTTATGACACTAATACTTAGTAGAAAAAATTAAAAGAATAAGAGTATCTAGGTTACATTTAATAATTAATTTTGTTATAACTATTGATCAGAATGTACCTAATAGGATCTGTTCCAACACCACTTGGGTTATATTTTTTTATTATCCTTACTAAAAAGTCCCAACCAGTCATTTTTGAGCTATTTTGATTCAAGATGACTCAAAATAAGAGAATAGACCTGGAGATGTTAAAGCTTATCAAACTGGGGCATATTACTGGCCTTAGACTCTGTGGTTTAGAAGTCCACATTTTTTATTGTGAATTTCTTTATGTACCTATAATTTCTGGGTTCATCACTGCTATAGGCATAAAAAATTTTATACCTCAGCCCTTTTGAAGAACTGGGAATGTACCAAGTAGGTCAATAAAGCCCAGGACACTCACCTCCTCACATCTCTACACTTCAGGAACATTGTTTCCTAGATTAGTACACACTCCTCTTCTGAGAATTCTCAAGTTAGAATCTCTTTTCACAAGTTTACCTTTCTCAAGCTCTATTGAATTTTTTCTCAAATTTTCTTTATTATAAAACATAAAAATTATAAGACGTTGACAAACCATCAGCAGACATAAACATTTACAAATAGAAATAGAGAATTATATATAAAAATGTGAACTTCTATTTTATAAAGGGTTTCTTGTTTTAAAGAATATATAAAACACAACAGTGCCAAAATGCTCTGCTCCTTAACTTACTATTCCTTGTGAATTTCCTGTGATTCCTTCTGAAGATCCTTCTGCTTTCTTCTGGGTATTTTAAAATGCTAATTGACACTCTTTTACTTTTTTCTCCCTTTTGTCATTCCTTATAGCTCAATAATATTTGATTACATTCATATACCATAATTCGCTCAATCATTCACCAACTGATGGGCACTCACTTTGTTTCCAATTCTTTGCTCCAAAAAGGTGCAGCTATAAATATTTTAGTACATTGGGTTCTTTCTCCCTGTCTTTGATCTCTTTGAGGTATATGCCTGGCAATGACATCACTGGGTCACCAGGTTAAGTTCCACTGGTTTTCAATGGGTTATAAGTAGTGAGAAAAGAAAATGTTATCAATTACCTGAGGAGTTGTAGGTTCTAGATCTTTAATTAAGTTATAAGCCTCTTGCACATCATCTGAAACACCAAGAAAATTACTCAGAATGCATTCTAGATAGTTCCTGTGATTCTAAAACATTCTTGAAAGAGAAGTTAAGAAGGGTTAAATACATTGATCCTGAATTAATGGCTCTGCTTCAGAGTCCGTAACAAACTACAATAAAATCACTCAGAGCCAGGGTTCTAAAGGTCAAAGGGGCCTTAAAGACCACCTTGTCCAGCCCTTTTATTTTGAAGATGAGCTAACAAACACCACATAGTGACTACCTGGCATCTTGGTTTTGAAAAATCTCATTAAGTTTTTCTGTTCAAATGGTTACAAAGTACTAGAAATCAATTCAATAAAAACATTTATTAGGTGCCTGTTCTGGGCAAGGTGCTAGGCACTGAAGGTACAAAGGTACAAAGAAGGAGCTTACAATTTAATGCAGAGGGGAGAGATGTATATCAATAACTATCATACAAGGGAGGACAAAGACAGACCAAAATACTATTAAAATATAAATCTAGAAAGAATCTTTTCAACTGCTGGTTAGGATGGAGAGAAGCCTTCAGGGAAGTTCTACTTGAGTGGATCCTTCGAAGGGAAGGACTTCACAAGACAGAGATATGGTGGAGGAAGATGGGATGAGGGAAGGATGGGAAGTCCATTAAAGGAAAAGGGGAGAGGGTGGCATAACTCAAGGCACTGAGAGCAGGGCAGAGCAAGAATGGGACAGTCCACTTTGGCTAGAAGGACAAACGAAAGTTTAAAACATAGAGTGTCCCAAAAGTCTTAGTGCTGTTTGAATGCTTGAATAGCTTAAAACTGCACTAAGACTTTTGGGACAGCTTGTATATTGTGAAGGTCATAGTCAGAATGTAGTAAGCATTGAATCCCCAAATCAGAAGTTGATATTACATTGATTACGCAAAGGAGAGAGACTTTTATGTTTTTAAATGAAGGAGAATGACATTAAAAGAACTGTGTACTTGCTAAAATTTTTTCACTGGTTACAGAAAAACCTGTTATTAGACAGACCATTGGCTGAAGATTTTTACAATAAGATTTCTCGATATTATTACAGGATTTGGTTAATAACTTAATCATAAAATGATGTTAATCCCAGCAATGTTATATGACAAACGCCCTCATCTGACTTCTCATACATTACCTTCAAGACTGTTATTATTTTTTTAGAATGATACAATGTCCATTCAAAAGAATAAGCTATGCCTAGTGGTCATCCAATTGATAACTAAAATTTTATTTTCTTTTGATAGCACAGTAATTGAGCCTCACTATTTCTAAGTATTCAACATGTTCTGGTCATGGGCCTTAGTGTAGTAGATCTGTTATACAGTAGCATGTATTAATGTTCTATATGAATTTGGTATCTTCCTCAGGACCTAGCATAAAGCACAGGACTCGGGACAGTAGGAGTTCAATAAATATCTGTTGAATACTGAACGAATAAATGGCATATTGTCCTAATATGCATTCACATTTAATAATATATTTCTGTATTTTAAAATTTAGCTTTCCAATTTTTTCCTTCTTATTGAGAACTTAGCAAGTACCAATGTAAAAAACTGCTAGGTACATTAAGTCATGTTTTGGTTTTAAACAGTCACATAGTAAAACCAATTTCTTACATTCCTTTAAAAGGTCTTTCAGCTGGGAAGACTTGTATGAACTTTACCAGAGTAAAGAGAGCAGAATCTACTCAATAACTTCTTGTAGTCCAGTGGGTTTTAACCAATTTTTTTTTGTCATGGACCCCTCTGGTAATTTGGTGAAGTCTAACACTACTGGAGTTTGTCATTCATGACTGAAGGAAATTCTAAATTTCAGTTACAGGTTAGTGGAAATAAAACTGTTTTTTTCCCAACCAAATTCACAGATCCCCTTAAATCTATCCACAAACCCCAGGTTAAGAAAGCCTTTCTTATTAGCTAATATGACAGAAAGGGAAAATGACAAATGTTGGAGGGGATGTGGGAGACACTGAGGCACTGCTGATGGAGTTGTGAACTGATCCAACCACTGTGGAGAGCAATGCCCAAAGGGCTACAAAACCATGCATACCCTTTGATCCAGCAATACAACGACTAGGTCTATATACCCAAGAGATTTTTAAAAAGGGGGAAAGGAGGTGTTTGTACAAAAATATTTATAGCAGTTCTTTTTTGTGGTGGCAAAGAATTGGAAATTGAGGAAATGACCATCAATTGGGGAATAGCTGAACAAGTTGTGGTATATAATTGTAATAGGATATTATTGTGCTATCAGAAATGATGAGCAGGATAGTTTCAGAAACATCTGGAAAGACACGAACTGATACAAAGTGAAGTGAGCAAAATTAGGAGAACATTGTGCATAGTAACAATATTGTATGATGATCAACTATGAATGACTTAGCTATTCTGAGCTATATAATAATCTAAGACAATTCCAAAGGACTCATGATGAAAAATGCTATCTACCTCAAGAGAAAGACCTGATGGAGTCTGAATGTAGATTGAAATATACTATTTTCACTTTCTTCATTTCTTTTCATATTTTTAGTCTGTTTCCTTTCACAACTAACATGAAATATGATTAATAGGGAAATATATTTTGCATGATTACACATGTATATGACCTATATCAAAACTATCTCAGGGAAGGGGAAGGTGAGGGATGGAGGGAAGTCAAAATTTTAAAAAATGAATGTTAAAAAAATTTTTACATGTAATTGGGAAAAATAAAATATTATTAAAAAAAACAACTCCTGTCTTAGAGGGTCACCTGGGGCACTGAGAGGTGAGTGACTTCTCAGGGTTACATGGACAATCCACGCTGGAGGTAGGACTTGCCCTTAGGTTGAAGTGGCACTGGGGTCATTCTTTATCCAGCACGCCATGCTTTCTACCACTATGCACTACAATAAATTCTAACTAATAATTAAAAATCAAAAAAAATCTTTAAGTGGAAAAAATAATATAATTTATTCCAGTCACGCAGAAAAGAAAAATTTGAATCAAGCTAATGGAAATAAATTGAAGATAAATTCAATAAGCAGAATTACAGAAAGACAAATGATTCTGAGCCACAAAAACTGATGTCTCTAAAATGAAAAGAAACAGATTACTAAGAAAAACAAAAGGCCTAACATCCAGAATCTATAAAAAAAAGTGATACACACTGATAAAACTAATGCACACTTCTTATGGAGCTAAGACAAAAGGAAATGAACAGACAATTTTAAAGGAGAAATTACACATAGTTAATAACAACATGAAATGTTGCTCAAATTGCTTACCTAAATAATAGCCAGAAAACTATAAATTAAGACAACCTTAAGGTACTATCTTTACAATACACTTAATAAGTTTATAAAATGACAACAATAATAAAAATTCCATGTTGGCAGGGTTATATGGAAACAGGCATCCTATAACATAGGTGGGGATATAGACTGGTGAAAACTTTCTGGAACTCACTATGGCAACATACAACAAGAACAACAAAATTGGTGGTTCTGGGACCCTGTGAGTCTTTCACTGGAACTTTATCCTAAAGATGTCAATAAGCATTGATAAAGTGCCTGCTCTGTGCCAGCTGCTGGGAATACAGATACAACAAAGAAAATCATTCCTACAGAGAGATAATAAAGTGACAAAAGAACAAAAATTTCCTTTCTTTCCTTTCTCTTTTTGTATCACTTTGTTCTTTCTCCTCTTTATCTACCGTGTGACTCTCTCTTCATCTCAACATCTTGCAAAAGTCCTTTTTTGTCTGACCTTTTCTTCCTCTGACATATTTGAGAAGTAAAAGTATAAAAAATGAGTATACCAATGTGACTTTGCCATCATGAATAATAGTTAAATTTGCTAGCCACTGGCACACCTCCCATGAGTAGACAGGTGCATGGCTAGGACCTAATCAGGGCTGTAGATTAGAAGTTCCCAGGATATTCTCTTATTTATATTTAGAGGAGAAAAGAGAGATGGGAGAGGAAATGGCAAAAAAGGGGAAAGGGTGGTAAAGAGAAAGAAGGAAAAGAAAGAAGAAAGAACAATAAAGGTGGGCAGAGAAAAAATGACAAATGGAAGGACATAGCAATATCCACCTAGGTTTTCAAGTATGCTTAACTCCCACTTCAAAGAAGTAAGACCCAGTCAAAACACAGAAATTCAAGTCATACTTGGATTTAAACAAAGCTGTCAAGTGCTAAGGGCTTGTTATTCCAAGGACTAAGTTGGGAAAAAATGGAATAGATTCATTACTTGAACAGTTTATCATAAAAGTCATATAGAAATAACTACAAGCAAGTTTATTATATTAAGTAAAATAGGATGTTAGGGATGGCTTTAAAAACTAGAGAAGTAGTTCAGTGTGGGATCAAAAATTAAATAGTCTGAAAGTCCTCCCAAGTTCAATCAAGATCAAAACCCATATTTCCTTACCCTGACGAAGATAGTAAATCACTAAGTTTAGTCTAGCTTCAGGAATAACATCAACCAGGGGAGGCAAAACCTGCAAAGCACCTTTACCGCCTCGGAAAACAACCTACAGAGAAAGAAGTCAGGTTAAGCTGGCAGCAAGTATAGGTATGGAGGGAGGGAATGCTGGGGCAGCTAGACTGAGGGAAAAGCTTCTACGTATTCCTGGACAAAAGGTATCTAAAATAACTTCAGAATACTTGGATGTATGGGGAAATAGTTTATCAATCATTTAAACTGATGATTACTTAGCTTTTATCACTTTTTTCTTTTTTTGTCAACTTTTTGCCCTGTCAAACTTAAATGTTTCATTTTTTAAGATTACCCTAAATTTTTGGAAATTCATTAATCTAAATAAGTACATGAGAAACAGAATAAACCCCTGGGGCAACTTCCTTTCTTATTACAGCATCTATTCCCTCCTACTACTTAAAAAATTCAGAAAATTATCTTCCTTATATCTGTTCATAGTTGGAAATGGTTTGAAGTAGATGGTCAAATGGTAAGGCCCTTTATTTATTACTCATGGCCCAGACTCATTCCTCTCTAAGAATTAAGAATGTAAAATATATGGAAATTGTAAAGCTCTGGGAAGAAGAGTGGCATTTTGGGGGTAAATAAAAATGTGGGGCTGGGGAAAAGAACAACTAAACAAAAAAAATCTCTTATAGATCTAAAGTACTTTGGTAATTCAGGAACAGAAAAATATATTATAAACTTGATTTGATCAAAGAATTAACATGTTTGGTGAGAAAAGCCTGCTAGGCGAATAAAGGTTGTATTACCAAGCTCTGCTACCACAGTTTTTTAACCTTGAGCTGGAAAACTTTAAAGCACGCCTGCACAACATACAGCCTGCAGGTCACTTGCAGCCCAACAGCAGGATTTCAAGTAGCCCCTGAAAAATGTAGGATTGCCACTGCGCAGTTTCCTATTTGTCATGTGACCTATGGCAACCAGTCTGTCTCTAACCTAACCTATCCGTGGCATGAAAAATTTAGCCTATTTTAATTTTGGCCCCTACCTACTGCCAAGTTGTGCAGGTCTGCTTTAAAGGTTACTGCCCTAGATGATCTCTAGGTTGAACTGTAACATCTTTAGAGCAAAAAAATTGAATGGCAATTCTACTATATTCTAAAATTTTAGTTTATTAAAAATGATGTGGGTGCTACTTTAAAATCAATATGTATATCTTTTGGAGTGGGGTTGTCAGTAGATAATGGAATTCACTTTCAAAATATCCTGTATGTTGGTTGGTTTCAGTTTAAATGAACTTAAAACTTTTTCTTATGCTTTTGTTCATATGTCTGAATTGCTGAATGTACCAAGTACTTGTCAGTAGCAATCAAAATAAAATTTATATTTGAAGTGTAGTTTGTTCAGGCAAAAGTTATAAATTTACTAGTTGAATTTGCTTTTAAAAGTTTTAAATTCATTTCAAATGGACGTACAAGCTTCCAGACTTTAAGTAATCCAACATTTCTTACTTTTTACCACTTTTTGAGAAGCTGTAAAAAAATGCGATAAGAAAAAACACAATTGTACTAAAACAGGAGTTGTCAATAAAAATTATATCTATAGAAATATGTCTTCTGGACCTCTGATAATGTCCTCCACAGTGTTGACATGAAAATTCCTGCTTTTCAAAACTACCAGCTATAGGAGGATGATCCCCAAACCTGTATCTCTAACTCTAACCTTCCTCTGGAACCCTATCTCATTTCCAACTCCTCATAGTCTCAAAACTACTACCTCTCCTTTATTAATTTAACTAATTAATGATAACATTATTTTCTCAATTACACAAGATCAAAACTATAAGTCCTTTCATTTCCTCCACACCCAGTAGAACATTAGTTCTTCCCAGTATCTTTCCCAAGTGTCCTTTTCTATTTTTACCCTTAACTCCTTAGAAAAGATCCTCATTTTATGTCTGGCCCAGTGAAATACATAGCCTTCTACCTGGTCTCCCTGTCCCTATTATTTTATCTTTTGAACTAAATTATAAAGATTAAGTCAGATTAATCTTCCTAAAGCAATGCTCTCATTACATATCATTCTACCACTCAAAAATTTGCAATGAATTCCCAAATTCTACATGTTAAAGAATAAATTTCTTAATCTGTTATTTAATTTGCAGTTGTCCATGTACTATTTCCCAGTACTATCTCAAAACTTTGGGCATTTATCTCATATCATCCACCAATCTGGCCCCAATGCACCTTTCTAGGCTTATCATTAGCCTCAATATTAAAAACTTCTCTCATCACCCAAACTGCTTAAGTCACAGCTGCTCAGTATTTGTGCTTTCTTACCTGTGCATTTATGTATTACCATTTCTCTGTACCAGAATGTCCTTCCTATTCCTCTTCACCCACTGAAATCCTACCCAACATTCTAAGCCCAGCTCAAGTCCCAAGTTGCCAATGATATCTTCCTTCCTAAATTATTCTCATCTACACTGACCTCTTATATTCTCCTCTGAATTTATAGCATTAAACTGTTTCTGGAAGTAATTTGGAAATTAATTATTTATAACTGTGTGTACTATATCTCTTACACTACTATCTTTGGTTGCCATTTAACTTGTCATCATGCATTAGTTTAGTCTAGAATCATAAAACTTGCATTCTACTGTCTGCTCTGCCCCTAGCTAGATGGGTGATGTACAAATTACTTAACTTCTCTGGGCCTCACTTTCCTCATCTAAAAAATAAGGTGGCTGAACTGATTCATCTTTAAGTTCCACTTCAGTTTTATAATTCTACATTTCTAAAGAGGGAGCCATCAAAGTGTCAAATATGTAAGAACATGAGGACTGGAAAAAGACACTTGGGGTCCAGGAAGAAGGTACCAATCATTTTTAAGAATACAGTTTCAATATGGTGATTTCAGCTGCAGCCCTCAGTTCCCTAGGCTACAAACTTTGTGGGTCCTCTATCTCCCAAATACAACCAATCACCATGTAAATTTTGTTTTAATGTTTCTTGTATCTGTCCCTTTCTATTTATACTGCCACAACACTAGTTTGAGCCTTCACCTCACTATTGCTAGTTTCCTAACTGGGTTTCCTGCTTTCAGGTTTACATGCAGCCAGTCTATCTCACACGTTATTAGATTAGCCTTCTTAAATTAACATCATATCACTAGCTAGTCAAGAATCTGTAACAGCCCTCTGCTATAGGGTTGATACAAACTCCTTAGCTTGTTTAAAAAGGGCATACCATAATGCGATCCCAATTTATTATACAATTTTATTTCTCACTCCTCCCAAATATAAACTTTTTCTTCTAGTAAACCAAATCTGCTTACTGTCCTTCATGCAGATAATTGTTAATCTTTCCTCTGTCCTTCTGATTACGCCATTTCCTTTATTGTAATGTCTCTTAATTCCTCTCCAAATCTTACCCATCTTTCAAATTCTACCTCTATGATGAAGCCTTCTTTAATTATTCCAACATACATTGATCTCTCTATATTTAGCATCTGCTACTATTCTCTTCCTTAAATTCTTTCATTATTTCCTATGTGTACATAATCACCACAAGACTGTAAGGTTCCTAAGGTAAGTAAACTATATATTAATACTTCTTTTGTATTTCTCCTCCCCACAGCAAATCATTTAATATAAATTTATTAGTTTCTTGGCTTATAGTAGAATGCTATTTGCTCGTGAAATTTCCTGCACAGATTTATGTATGTAGGTGTGTACTCTTCCCTATAAGCTCCTTGAGATGAGGGGTTGTTTCAATGTTGTTTTTGTATTGAAAGTGCCTAGAATTGTGCTCAGCACATAATAGGTGCTTAATAAGTTCTTAACGATTAAGGGAAAATAAAAGAAATTTTCTGCACATATTCTTTTATAGAATAGAATGTACTACAGTAGGACAGAAGCCAATTCATTCAAAATTGGAACCCATTATTTACCAGATTGTGCTTGATAAGTTCCTTAGCAAATTCAAAGGAAGAAGAGGCATTGTCCATCAGGCTCTTGAGTTCTGCCTAAAATTCAAAAAGACGTAATTAAGAAAAGCATAAAAATATACAACTAGTGTTTTATTTCCTCACCATCTTACTATATCCTTATAATGCTTTACAAAGTACTTTCATTTATATTATCTTATTTATATATATGCGTGTATGTGTGTGTAGATACATACCACAACCTTGAGAAGAAGGTAGTGGTGGTATTAATGTCTCCATTTTACAGATAAGAAAACTGAGGTTATATGTTTAGTAATTGGCAGAGCTGGAATGAGGTATGATTCTTACTTCTTAATTTAATTACAGATCTGGACCTGTCCATTAATGCAATCAAAATCTCTAACATTTCCTCAACTATCCATCAGTTCCCTTCTGTCTCTATCTGCCTTGTTAGCCAACCTGGATCCCCATGGTCAGCTGTATCAACAATGTATCCTAGAATCATTTGCCTGATCTTTTGTCATACTTGTTTATCCCCAACCTTTGGGAACTTCTCCTGTCTTCTTAATTATACCCACTAAATATAGGTGTTTCCTATAATGCTACTCCCAAATCCTCTTCAACATCTCCACCATCTCTGTTTACTTTATTCACTTCCACTGATTCAGGTATTCTCTCCTCACCTGTTTCAGAGAAGTGTCCTTCCTTCTTACCAAAGCTAACCTTCATACCTATTATCTTGACACCGTCCCTTCTGGGACTCTGGTCTACCACAGTCTAGCCTCTAGCTTCATCTTCATTCCCTCCTTCATTTCAATGCCAAACTTCTTGAAAAGAGTAATCTATCCTATGCCTCTACTTTCTCACCACTTGTTTTTTACTATCCTGTGATATGGCTTCTCCCCTACAACTTTACTGAAACTTCTTGAAGTTAACCAGTGAACTCCTGATCATAAAATCCAATGGCTTAAAAAAATTGGTTGTAAATCACTTATGAAGACTTTTTATTTAATCACCTTTTTAAAAGTATAATTTTTTATTTTAATATTCTTTTCTTTTTAAATTTTGAGTTTCAAATCTTCTCCCTCCCTATAACCCCTTCCCCACCCAATGAGAAAACAAGTAAAATTATATTAATTATATATGAAATCATACAAAAAAATCGTTTCCACATTAGCCATATCTCAAAAAAAGAATGTGAGAAAATTATATTTCAATTTGCACTAAGAACTCATCAGTTCTTTCTCTGGAAACGGATAGCCTTTTTTCATCATGAGTCATCTGAAATTGTCTTAGATCACTGTATTGATCAGAGTAGCCAAATCTTTCACAATTATCATTAAAACATTGCTGTTACTATGTAATGATCTCCTTGTTCTACTTACTTCACTTTGCATCATTTCATATAGATCTTTCCCCCTCATCATTTCTTATAGCAAAATAGTACTCCATCATAATCACATGGCACAACTTGTTCAGCTATTCTCCAATTGATGATTAGTAGTGGTATTGCTGGGTCAAAAGGTATGCACAGTTTTATAGCTCCTTGGGCATGGTTCCGAGTTATTCTCCAGAATGGCTGCACCACTTCACAAGTCCACCAATAGTTTATTAGTTTACTTATTTTTCTTCCTGTCCTCCAGCATTTGTCATTTCTGATTAGTGTGAGGTGGTACCTGAGAGTTGTTTTATTTGCCTTTCTCTAATCAATAGTTATTTAGAGCATTTGTTCATGTGACTATAAATATCTTTGATTTCTTCTTCTGAAAACTGCCTGAAATTCTTTGGCCAATTATCATTTGGGGAATGGCTCTTATTTTTATAAATTTGACTCCATTCCCTGTATATTTGAGAAATGAGGCCTTTATCAGAGAAATCTGCAATAAATTTTTTTATATTACTCCATTATCAATCGTACCTTTTAGCAAAATGTAGTTTCCCTGATTATCTTTTAATTAGGTTTATTTTTGCTTTGTCTGAGATCATGATTACTACTCCTGTTTTTTTAAACTTCAGCTTCAGCCCTTTATTTTAACTGTAAGTCTTTCTGTTTCAAGTGTGTCTTTGTAAAGAACATATTGTTCTAATCCATTCTACTATCTGCTTCCATTTTATAGGTCAGCTCATCCCATTCACATTTGCAGTAATGATTACTGTGTATTTCCCACCATCCTATTTTCTTCTGTTTACCCTTTTCTCTCTCTTTTTAATCCTGTCCCTCCCCAAAAGTTTGTTTTGCTTCAGACCACTGCATCCCTTAATCCACTCTCTCTTTTATCACTTCCCATTCCATATCTTTAATCTCCTTCCCCTCTTATTTCCCTATTAAGTAAGATTGATTTCTATACCTAATTTAATGTGTGTGTATGTTTGTTTATTTTTCCCTCTTTGAACCAATTCTGATAAAAATGAGGTTCAAGCTGCCCACTATACCCCATTTCCTGCCCCCCACTACAAAAGCTCTTCCTTACCTACCTCTTTCATATGAAAAAAATTTCTCCATTCTACCTCTCCCTTCCCCCTTCTCCCAGAGCATCTCTATTTCTCACCCCTTCATTTTTTGGGGAAATTTTTTGGAAATCATCGCAACATAATCAACTCACACTCATGCCCTTTGTCTATGTATGCTCCTTATAACTATCCTAATAATGATGAAGTTCTTAGGAGTTACATGTATCATCTTCCCATATAGGAATACAAATAGTTTAATCTGAGTCACTTATTATTACTCTTTCATGTTTACCTTTTAATCCTTTTTCTCTAGTCTTACCTTTGAAAGTCAAATTTTCTACTCAGTTGCAATCTTTTCAACAAGAATGCTTGAAAATCCTCTATTTCATTAAATATCCATTTTCCCCCCAAAGCATTATACTCATTTTTGCTGTGTAGGTTATTCTTTGTTGTGATCTTAGCTCCTTTGCCTCCTGGAATATCATATTTCAAGCCCTCCACTCCTTTAATGTGGAAGACATTAAATTTTGTTATCAGTAATCCTGTCTGTAGCTCCATGATGTTTGAATTATGTCTTTCTGATTGCTTGTAATATTTTCTCCTTGACCTGGAATTTGGCTATAATACTCATGAGAGTCTTCATTTTAGATCTCTTTCAGGAGATGATGGATGGATTCTTTGAATTTCTATTTTACTCTCTGGTTCTAGCATATTGGGTTCTTTTATTATTATGGCTTTCAGATAGTCCAATAATTCTTTTTTTGTAATTGATAAATAGTATTTTACTTTTTCCAATTACTACCCCAATAATTCTTAAATTATCTCCCCTCAACCTATTTTCCAAGTTTGTTTTTCTGATGAGATAGTTCACATTTTCTTCCATTTTTTCATTCTTTCGACTTTGCTTTATTGTTTCTTGAAGTCTCATGGAGTCATTAGCTTCCACTTGCTAAATTCTAACTTTTAAGGAATTATTTTATTCAGTGACCTTTTGTATCTCTTTTTCTATTTGGCCAGTTTTGCTTTTTAAAAAGCTATTTTCTTCAGTATTTTTTTAGTGCCTCTTTTACAAAGCTGTTAAGTCTCTTTTCATAATTTTCTTGCATCACTCTCATTTCTCTTCCCAATTTTTCCTCTATCACTCTGTTCTTTAATACTTCCAGGAATTCTTGTTGGACTTGGGTCCCATGAACATTTTTCTTTGAGGCTTTGTTTATAGTTGTTTTCACATTGTTATCTTCTTCTGAGTTTTTGTCTAGGTCTTCCCTGCCACTGTAGTAGCTTTTTATGCCCAAATTCTTTTTGTTGTTGTTTGCTCATTTTAACAGCCTATTTCTTGACCTTGAACTTTATGTTAAAGTTGAGCTCTGCTCACCTGGGGGTGGGAAGGCATTATTCCAATCTTCAGTTTTCAAGCTGCTGTTTCTGGAGGATCTACCCTGGGCTGCATTCCAGTCTTTACCCAGGAAGGGTCCCTTCTTCCCTGCAGCCACAAGTACTAGGGCTCCTCTTGGCCCTGGAACTGTGACCAGGGCCCCTGCTCCCTTAAGACTGATCACAAGTACGCCTCTCCACCCTGGAACTGCAACCTAGAACTGTGTATGGGCAATAGAGTTGTCAATCAGTGCCAGCTACACCCAGTGCCAGCAAAGGGTCCCACCTGTAATCTCTTTCTGATCAGTTGTTCAACCCCCTTACTATCTTCAATTTGAGAGCTCCTGAAGTTGCTGCTGCTTGCTGTGGTCATCACAACCACCTCCAACATCCACTGCTGGTGCTCCTGCCATGCTTCGGGTCAGCTCCCAACCTAGGGTTACAGACCTCTCCTGCCAACCTTTTAAGTTGGAAAAAAGTCTCACTCTGACCTTTTGTTGGCTTTGCTGCTCCAAAATTTGATTTTGATTAATTTATGAATGTGAAATTATTTTAAAGCTCTTTGGAGGGGAACATTTGGTAGGTTTTTGGTTTGATGTCTGTACTCTGCCATCTTGGCTTGCCTCTCCAACGGTTTTTTTTCAATACTCATTTTTCTTGACTTCATTAACCATTTACTTCTTGAAACACTTCACCCTCAGCCTCACTATGTTCTGGTTTTTCTTATATTCCTCTGCCTCTATAACACCTTCTCTAAGGTAAAACAGATAAAGGTGAAACAATTGAAATCTGACTATTTTAAGGGTGCCTCACACTCACAATGCATTTGTACCTTATAAAGGATACAGGCCTTTTCAAAATCTAGTGGATCAGTTTTGACCTTGTAGAGTACATAAAACTTAGTTCAGCTGACCTGCACTTGGTAAAGGACATGATGTCTTGAGTAGTTATTTTCATATGAAAATGAAGTTATTTTCATATGAAAATTAAGCTGCCCACATGGCATAGATTTTTCTCTGTATATTTTCTCAGTTACTTGCATGAACCATTAGAAAAGTGTAAAAAAAAATTTTGTGTTGTTTGTTTTTTAACTGAGTAACCCTGAACCCCACAGCTGTCTAGAGATTACTTGGTAAAAAATCACTGCTTGGCTGTGACCTAACATGCAGAAATGCAGATTTGGGAAATGTACTGGACAGTCACCACAAATTAGGATGAATGAGGGCTCTCACAGTGGGGACTCACCCTTTTACAGGAAGAGTTGTCCTAACAAGAGGCTAAAGTCTAAAGGATGACCTGCTCTCCCACCTTCTATCTGCGAGGTGGCAGGCCCCAGAAGCGAGTCCCTAAGAGAGCTGAACTGGGGGAACTTCTGCTAGTACTAAGGTAAAGGTCCCTGTTCTTTCTGACATCAAAATACTCCAGCTGAGGATTGCAGCTGAGCCTGGAGAGACAGGTGGTAGAGACTGCAGCCACTCAGGGAGGTCAGTTTGAGAGAGCCAGGCAGGCATTAGATTGGATGAGAAACCCAACTACTCACACAGACATAGAGAAGATTCTATAGCGATGGATAAGGCAAGACTACGAGAAGTCATGTGAAGCTGCCAGAGTGGAAGTACAGTTGCCAAAAGACCTGGCAGACCAAGTCTCTGGGAGTCAAGCTATTTTTAGCATAAAGAATGTTAGGACAGGCTAAGGCAATGAACCCACTTAAACTACTCCCCCACTTTTCCTCTCTCCATTATAGAATTCCTAGGTAGTATTTCTGTATCTTTTTCTTGGGCAGTTAGGTGGCACAGTAGATAGAGCTCTGGCCCTCTAGTCAGGAGTGAGTTTAAATCCAACTTCATTCTTACTAACTGTGTGACCCTGGCACATCACTTAAATCTCTGTTTGCCTCAGTTTCCTCATCTGTAAAATGAGGATAATAATAGCACCTGCCTCTCAGAGTTGTTGTGAGGATCAAATAATAATAATATTAATATTATTTATAATATATGAATATAATTATATAAGATTTATTAATAATAATAAATCAGATAATAATTGTAAAGCACTTAGTACAGTGCCTAGCACATAGCAGGCACTAAATAAAATTATTCTCTTGGGTTTCTTCATGAAAGCCCTCTGGGTATGAAGAAAGTCTTTTTACCTTTCTTCCTTTAAACATTTACTTTTTCTTTGCAAACAATGTTAAGTACAGACTTACCTGAATCTGGGTATATTCATTGGAAATGTGGTTGGGAGAAAGCAATGGGGACAAAGGAGGATGAATCATTAAAGAAGAAAAATAAAAGATTAAACACTGCAATGTATTGCCAGAGCACTGGCTCTTTTGGGGGCTCTGAACTAAAAAGGAGAGCAATAATTACAGATCCTTTAAGATTTTCCATAGCAGGGAAGAAGCTTTTGTGCCAGGACACCAATCTAGGCAATGTGTCAGTGGGGAAGGGAGGTAGGGATGGGAGGGGGTAGGTGAGACAGGTGTGGCTGAACAACCCTGTTCACCATACAACTCCCACCCCTGCTACACTATATTATGATTATAAGAAATTGGTAAGCAAATTTTGTGGTAATAGTTTGTTTGATTGTGGAAAAATAATTATCAAAATGTAAATAATGTACAATTTTCTTTTTATGGAAAATTTATGAATGTCAGACCTGTTAGTTTTGATAGATTTGAGCATACTGAGAACATCCCTAAAGCTCTGCATTTTCTTTTCTCTATATTCACTTAAGGTGTTATATGATCAGCAAGACGGTGATGTGTGTTTTTTCAACAGAACTTTCCAACTCTAGCAACCTCAAATCAAGAAGAAATACATCATAAATAATAACAAAACTATGGCAACAAAAGAAGACAAACACCTCCACACAAGTTAAATAAAGCCTTTTAAAATAATAGAAGATGGCTGAACTCCTTAAAGCTTCTGTTCACCCTAACTATCCCCAGCCTTCCCACAGATCAAGTAACCTGTACAAACAAACTAGCAGGCTTGTGTCTTAGACTCCATATGTGGTGGTCTCTCTACCCTGTCCCCTTGAAGCAGTGACTCAGTCACTCCACAACCCAACAGGTAAAAAACACTGATCTTATCCAAGAAAAGGAGAGGGAAGAAGGATCTGGCAGTGCAAAGCTGGCAAGAGTAGACTGGACTTCAACGCCCAAGGTCAAAAGACCTATAAATTTAGCTGTCAGCCTCAGTCCTCTCCTTGTGGAGTTAATAAATACATACACTGCATCCCAAGCCAACTACAAACTGCTCCCTGATCTCATTCTGCCATCTTGCACTTCACCGTCTGCTTCCATGTCTTTGTAAAGCTTGTACCCCAAGTCCCGTCTTCCCCTCCAGCTCTGAGAATGGCTAGCATCCTTCGTGGCTCATCTATGGTGCCACCTCTCATGGGAAGACTTACATTGATTCCCTTAGTGCTGGTGTTCCCTCCCTCCCAAAAATCACCTGTATTTACTCAGGCAAGTAGCTGCACATACACACATGGGCGCACACACACACGCACACACCATCTCCCACCCCAGTGGAATATAAGTTCCTTGAAGCCAGAGGCCATTCTTCATAGTGTGTTTGTGTCCCTCATGGTGTGCACACAGGAGGCTGCTGAATAAATGCTTGTTGAGCTGAACTGAATGCCTGCAAAGAGGATGTTTTCTATGCCTGTAATATAGCATTCTCCTCATCTTAGCCTGCTGACATCTTTTTTCCTCTTTCAAGACTCAGCTTAGTAACAGCTTTTCTCAAAGGCTCCCAGATGAAGGTATTTTCTCATCCCTCAAATTTCTTCGGAGTACTTTGTCTTATTTGCTGCTTTGCCCCTCCCCACTCCAACTTCTATCATACTTAAGAGCGTGTTAGATCCGTCTTGGTCGACTGTCAATGCAGTGAGGTGTGGTGGAAGGAGCACTTGGAGAGACCCGCATTGAATCCCAGCTCCAAGACTTACTGTTTGTGATACCCTGCAAGTCACTGAACCTCTCTGCCCCTCTGGTTCCTCATTTGTAAAATGGGGATAGTAAGACTTGAAATGCCTAAACTTTAAAGTGCTCAGTAAATGTGAGTGGTTGTTAAACCTTCAAGGGCAGAGACTGTGACTTTTTTTCATCATTATATCCTCAAGACCTAGTACCATGCCTTGAACAGTAGGTGCTTAATAAATATTTGTTAAATGGAATCTGAAAATATAGAGTGCTATACAAATGCAAGGTATTATTACTTGTCCTAAAAAAAAAATACACTCAAATACATTTTAACTACCCACAGTCTGCTAAGCACATGTAAAAATACATACATGAAAATTCCCTTCAGGAACTCTGACACACAGAAACATTACTACATTTTGGTATAGTACAACTGTGATAATGACAAAATTACATGTCACTAATCATGAACATGTCCTTTATAAAGAAATTCTTAAATAACTGGGAAATGTTTGCAGAGTACTTTCAATAAGAATGAAGTTAAAAGCAAATTTCCAGAAGTACCTCAGCTGCTTTGCCGTTGTAAAGACGGAAATGGTTACAGGCCTTGAGGTTGAGAGCAATGGTGCTATCAGGAATTTGCTGAAGGTAAACAGCCAGCACTTCTTGAGACACATCATAATAATCCAATTTATAGTAACAAAGAGCCACATAAACATTGAGAGCAAGATATTCCCTGAGAAATAAGAGAGGTAAGAGCATGGATACAACATTCCACTACTGCACAGAAGTATGGTTAGAGCATCAGGATCATTTTTATGGCCCTAGGGAACAAGGTAAAGCAGAGAGGGCTGGCTTTTAAGTCAGGAAGATCTGGGTGCAGGTGCTGCCTCTGAAACATGCTACTAGCTTCATGATCATTTAATCTCTTGGTGCCCTAAGCAATTATAAAGACTCTATAAATTACAAACATAGTGCTGAACTCCACACCAGAGACTCTCACCTAATTATTAAATCACAAGTTCAGACAAAATATAGTAAAGGGATCACCACAGCAATTTTAAGTCAAAAGCCATTTTATGCATCTTTCGTGAGCTGAAGGAGGCATAATGAGGAATGCAGAATTGTTTTATAATATAATATATTTATATTTCAATATTAAAAAGCCAGGAGATGACACCTAACAGGGTGGGATGAGTGAAGATGGGACAAGCTTGCATTTCAAACACTAGGGTCCAAAGACCTAAAGTTAACATCTAGAGTTTTACCATGTGAAGATAATCATGCAGTAACTACCAAACCCAACTGGGAAGATATAAAAGGTGGGAAAACCATATTTATTAGGCACTTTGGTTTCAAAACTAATAGGATGAAGAGGTAGGGCACAAACCGGTTATCCAGCAGTATTCGCTTGTAGATGTCAATAGCTTCTTGGTAGTGAGAGCGCATATAGTGAATCGATGCCAAACTGAGCTGATCTTCAGTAATATCCTGAAGATTTTGGTGAAAATTCATCAATTTCTTCTCATCGTTGAACTAAGATACAATATGATAGAGGAGACAAAGATTCAACTGTTAACAATACCAAATTAAAAATCAATTGCAGTCAACTATTGTATGGGTAGAGTTTCACTTTTTCCTCTCACTCTCCTGCATTTTTGTTTCCATCTTCCTCTCTACCTTTCTCATTTTTTTTTCTGTCTCTCTCTTCTCCGTCTTTCCTTACAGAGAAAAAGAAAAAAGAAAAGCCTCTGGAGAATTAGCTTTGCAAATGCAAGTCTATAAAGTGAGAGTAAAATATATGTCTATTAATCTTTCCGTCCTTACCCCAACATTGTACTATTCTCTTTCATTGTTCCCTTTCATTTCTTCCTTTTGTTGCCATTTTCATGTTCTCTCTAGCATTCTATCTTAACTAACCATAATATAAAAATAAAGCATATTTATTATTGTTTGCTTTGTTGAATAAAGCTCCAGGTTTCCTCCTCTCAATTTCGTTCCTCCTCTCTCTCAGGCTGGTGGCGGGCTACAGGCTGCCTAAGGATTAAAGCAGTGGCCTCCACTGTGTGCACCTACTCTTTTAGTTGGAAAAAAGACTTGTTTTTTATTTAGGAACAGCAAAAAAAGTGCTACTTTCTATGGTCCAGGAAAAAACACTTATTCTCTCATATTTGGCATATAAAACATCTGTTAGGAGGTTTCCTTGAACATTAAGTACAGTAAGAGAGAAAAGAGAAAGCAACGCCTGAGTTGATAACCACTGTACCAGAAAGAATCAAATGAAAGAAAGTTCATTAGAGTAAATGAGGTGAAAGCTGAGTGGACTTGACTAAAAAGCTATGGGTTCAAGCTCCTGCTCCATACTTACTATCCAATCCAATCTAAACCAACAAGAATTTATTAAATGTCTACTAGGTAGAGGCACTGCAGGAAGCACTAGGCATAAAAAGGAAAGGAAAAGCAGGCCATGTTCTACAGGAGTTTTCATTCTATTTAACCCATAATACATACAAGCAGATAGAGATAGACAGGTGTGTATGTATACGTATATGTGTGTATGTATATACACATACTTACATATATGTACACATAGGCACACAAATGTATATGTAATGACTATTTCCACAAAGAAATTAAACTCCAACAACTATGACTATGTTATAAGGGCAAGGAAATTAATGGAATAAACAATCTTGCACAGCTATAGTCCATATGCTACTTGTTTTGAAAAATCAGTGAAAAATCCATTACCAAGAGTTGGCACGCTTTCTATTAATGTTTATAATGGAAAGAAAAAGGAAGACAGAAAAGGGAAAAATAAACAATGTGCGCAACTTAAGCAGAAATATAATACCTTGTGAGCCAAGTGGAAGAGAAGACGATTCTGGAGTCGACTTTTGGGAGCTGAAAGAAAATACAGACTAGTTGTTACAGAACTAAGTGGTTCATATCAGACTTACACCTTGAATGGAACAGAAGAACCCCTAAGTTTCAACTCCTACCTCTGATTCTCAGAGATCTCTGCAATAATAAAAAATCTTGCTGCTTCCGTATATGCCCCCAATCGTTATGATAGCATTAGCAGAGGGAGCCAAAGAAGAGATAACCCTCAGACTCAGCTTCCCTTAATCAGATGCTACTGCTGTGGCCCAAAGTAGAGCTCTCCAGGCAGAGACACTCTGCTTTATGCTGTTCAGCCTATGCCAAACCATACACTGGCAGCAAGATACAGTCACCTCAGCACGTGCATGTGTACTATGTCCTCTGGCTTCTTCCCTATATTCTTTCTTTTACATCCCTATTCCATAAAAGGATTCCTTTCTAACCTCCACTTATGTGTCTTGTATAATCCCTCCATTACTTAGTAAGTGCTTTTCATTTATTCACTCATACCGATATCCCAGTTCCCTAAGATGGATATACAGGAGACTCACAGTCTTCCCATGGAGAGTTTCTTTTCTATTTCTTGTGCTTGAAGATAAACTCCCAAAGAGAATCAACCAACAACTATTTATTGGGAATCTCTAAGTCACTGGTAGGGGAATCAGAGAAGCACGAGACAGAATTCCTGTTCTCAAGAAGCTTACAATCCAACTGGAAAGCAAAAACTCACTGCAATAGCCTATGGGTTGGTCTCCTGGTCATAAGTGTCTCCTTGCTCCGGTCCACCTTCCACTCAACTGTCAAAATGATCTTCCTGCAGTGAAGGTCTGACCATATCACTCTACTCAGTAAACTTCAGTATCAAATAAAATCCACTTGGTTTTCAAAACCCTTCATAACCTGGCCTCCCTTACATTTCCAGTCTTTTTACACTTTACACCTCACCACATATTCTTCAATCCAGTGACACTGGCCTCCATGCTGCTCCTCAAACAACATGCTCCATCTCTGGATGTTTTCAATGGCTGTCCCCATGCCTGAAACGTTCTCCCTCCTCATCTCGGACTCCTGGTTTGCCTAACATCCTTAAAGTACAGCTAAAATTACCGCCTTCTACAGGAAGCTTTTCCCCATTCCCCTTAATTCTAACGCCTTCTCTCTCTTGATTATTTCCAATTTATTCTGTATATTGCTTGACTGTACATAGTTGTTTATATGTTGTCTTCCCCATAGACTGGGAGCTCCCTGAGGGACTGTCTTTACCTTTCTTTGTATCCCCAGAGCTTAGCCGAGTGCTTAGCACACAGTGCTAATGTTTACCAACTAACATTAAACAATTAGAGAACAATATAAGGCAGCATATAAATACTAAATTGCAGTACGGAAAAAGGAAAGCAAGGTCAATGTTAACTGGAGTTGTTACAGTTTTTGTTAAAGACTGAAAATTCTTTCCAAAAAATCCTCTCAATTCTTTAAGATATTCTTCCCCAAGTTAAATAAACTTATGCCAGGTATACTGTCATTGAACTTTCCTAAGTTTCAACTGGTTCTTCTCTAACTACCCTCCACAACTCCTTCCCCCATTCTTGTATGTGTACCCCACACTGAGTATAGTTCTTCTATAGTGACTATGAGGACGGGGGTTGGGAGATGAGGAGTTTTTTCAATTTCCATTTCTTATCCTGCCTTTAAGAAAAGGATAAAGCAGTTACAGAAAAGACAACCACAATATATAGATCAAAAAATTCAACTTAGAGCAAGAACAATAACATTTTATTATGAAATGGATAGCACTGTCCTTTCTGGTCCCCTATAGTCACCCTCCCCCTTTTCTGTTCTAACAGCATCTAATTCCTATTTCCTTAAATTAGGAAGAAGAAATATGGCCCATTCCCCAAGATGCTGGCCAGGGCTAGAGAAGGAGAAATAAAGTTTCATTTTGGTAGGCTGATAATCTTGGAAAAATTATTTTTCTTTAACAGTTCTGTAAGATAGGAAAAGCTGTGTTAGCTGTTATTCTGGTAGTTATTTAGTACCTGTACCATGCTTAAAAGCGGGGAAAAAATCAGCTTTCTCAAACATAAAGCTATACAAATCCATACTAAGTATTGTATAAAACATATAACCTTACTAATTTATCAAGTAATTTAGTTTCTGCTTTGGGAAAAGAAGATAATAAGTTTTAAAATCTCAAAAACTACTGCTGCTACAGAGAGAAATATAACTGAATGGCTCATCTCACCTTTAAAGCCTGCTGTTTCTGCTTGTTTATACATCCCAAGAAAGAAGTAGGTACAGGCCAAGTTCACCCAAACTTCAGGATTACAACCCTCCTCCTTTGTCACAGATTCATATTCCTGAAATGCAGGATGTTAAACTGTTATGTTTAAGTAATAAAGCAAGAAAGCAACTTACCTTTCAGGCAATCACAGGTTCCCTTGCGCTTTTCTTTCCCTGAAAGGTTAAGCAGCATGCTAGAGTGTGATCCACCTAATTCTAGGAAGAATGCCGCCCCACTCACCCCAATCTTTTTCCTCCTCTGAAATTGATCTAGGGTCACAAGCTGTAGAGATGTCAGGTTGCTAAAATTTTTGGTTTGGCTCAACAAGCTATATAAATGGAAGGCTGCTAAGATATTTTTCTTTTGTAGAAGTAGACATAATAACGATAGCTAATATTTTTATAATGCTTCAAAATTTGCAAATCACTTTACATACATTATCAACTTAGGGCCTCACAACAACCCTATCTATGAGGTAGATGCTACCTATATCATTTTCCTCATTTTACAGACAAGCAAACTGAAGCTCTGACAGATTAAATGACTTGTAGATGATCACTCGGCTAGTATGTGAAGCAGGATTTGAATACAGGTTTTCCTTATTCCAAACACCACCCTGGTCCTAATTTAACTTCAAGATGTAGCCCCTCTAGCCCACAGAGAATGCCTCTGCCTTCTCAGTTCAGATCCCTTAAGCTCCCTTAAGAGGTAGAAAGTATAAGAAATGCCACTTGCACAAGTTCTTAGAGTTAGGGAAAGGACCTGCAGCTGGATTTGATGCGTAAGGTGACTCCCAGATGAGAAGCCGGTCTTGGGAAGTTGCCCGGGGTCACACTGCCACCATGTGGCAGAAGCGTGGACTTGAACTCAAGTTGCCCTGGTTTCTGTCGGCTCTCTATGCACTACGCAGTGCTGCTTATCAGTTCTTGGCTTTATTCATTTGGATAAAGAGATTTTATTTTCCACCAAGGTCACATTTTGAAATTCTTGTTGCCAACTACATTTTTCAGATAACCTTTCAATTTCTTAAACCTCTTTTCCCAAATGTCAGTATTCCTTTTGTTTTCTTTAAGATGTTTCTAGGTCTGTCTTCCCTTTCTTTTCCAGCCTCCACAAATAACTAACGACCCTGTTCCAGTCAATTCAATTCGACAAATGTTTTCCTGAAACATCTATGGTCATCTTTCTTGTCCTGGTCCCTTTTCTTCTTCAGCCCTGTCTCCATTAATTAATTAAGTCCCCACTTAATTCTTAAGACCCCTACACCAATTATTAGGCTTTTCAAATATTCTATTCTGCACCTAAAGACCAAGAACATATGCTCGATTGATCAAATAGTTCTATTTACTAACTTTAAAATATGTGACTACCAAATTTACTAACTTTAAAATATAACTACCAAACCCCACCCACCATCACTGCTTATATTCAGAGCCAGAATCCTATAGATTGGAGACATTGACCATATATAACATGAAATAATCAAACAAAATCATTTAGAAGATAACCACGCTTCAAAAAGCAAAGATATACAAAGAATAAAGTTTCAAATGACAAAATATGAATAAATAGCAATAAATATCCTTAAGTGATAAAATTCTGACTTCCTCAGGCATGAAAATAATCAAGCAAAGTAAAAAGAAACAAATTTTCTTCAGATGAAACTTTCCCAAAGAATTTCTAAAAAGAAACCACAACTCTAAATTATTTCTTTACTAACCTCCAAAGCTCTCTTGTAGTCACCCAGATGAAAAGCACAGTATCCGATCCACAAATCAGTATCCTCATCTTGCTCTCCCACATGACGTTTGAACTTCAAGATTTAATGATATGGTGAAATAAACATTGAAAGTTAAATCCTTAAAAATATTAAGTTAAATTTTCACTTGATAGTAATGAATTATAGACCCTGAAGATAAAACTTACTCTTTGTTATATTCTGGTAAAATCATCATCATTATTATCATTATATTTATGTAGTGATTTTTACTTAGAAAATACATCTACTATCCTTACAATTCTGTGACATGAAGAAAGTAGGGTACAGAGAAATCACATGACTTACCTTAGACCATATAGTTGGTTTATGGTAAAACTGGGATTAAAACCCAGATCTCCTGGCTCTTGGCCCATGGCTTTTTCCCACTAGACCATACAATACAAAAGAACATAAGAACTTCCATAAATGGCTCAGACCTTGTGTCCTCTGGTCCAGTAATTAATTTTAAACAGAAGTACAAAGAAATGTTTTTTTGGCAGGCCAGGTTGATTGCAAAATGTTAAAGAATGTATTCCAAATGTTATATTTTCCATCAAGAACCCATTATATATCTAGCACTCTCAGATTATGAAAACTTTATTTAAGCTCATTTATATTTCATTTTAGGATGTCAGGATACAAAGCTAGAAGAGACTTCAGAAATCACTAGACTGAAGAAGTCAGAGGCAAAGTGACTGTAGCTTGTATTTCCATAAGTTTACTACCTTCCACGTAAAGTTCTTATTTGTGCTAAGTTTATTTTTTTCAAGCTTCAAAATATTCTCTGTAGTTTCAGTAATTGATGATGGTGCCTACCTATATTCAGTCATTGATCAATTTAGAGCATATCCTCTCAGTCTTTGTCTCTATAGACTGAAGAGACTTAATCTTATTTTATTAATATTCTATCCCAACATTAGGGCACTTTCAACATTCAAGCAGCATCCCTCCAACAAAGTATATTCTCTGAAAACAATTAAGCCAGCCTGCCAAAATGAACGATTATGGCTTTTATAGTTCATCATTTAGAAACATAATTAGGAAAGACAAATTTCAGAGCAAGAGCAACTGTAGTCAAGGGCAAGCAGCCACCAAATGGGACCAAGAGGATGACGTGAGCGTGCAAATCCCTTTTGGAATTCATTATGTAGATATAATACATGCAATTAAGTTCAGTTCTTAGAGTAGGGGTAGAAGGAGAAAAAAGTTCCTGCAGTGTCTGAGGGGATGGGATGCCTGAGGTGGAAGGCACCCTGGAGGCCATGGAGCACAAATCAATGCCTTTGGTGTTCCAGGCTCTTCCTAACTCCCCAGATCCTCTGGGAGGCCTCCTGAAGAGAAGGTAGCACTGTGAGAATTTCTTTCCCTCACCTGGGTTGAGGAGGGGAGGAAGACATGGACTCCTTGGAAAGAAGGGAGGGAAGGGAAGGCCCTTGGGAAGATAAGGGAGAAGATTTATTCTTGTGAAAGAGAGGAAGGTTCCAGGCTATAATATGCTGCTGATGGGATCTAAATATGCTCTTCTATCACCTCAGCAGGAGTCAGAAATGATGTTCCCCTTACCTCCTTCATTCAAGGCTGAAGTAGTATAAGCGTTAAATTTTTCATCCCTTTAAATTCTCTGTTCTATCCTACCCTGAAGCAAAAGAATAAAGGATATATGCTTTTTTTTTTTGACTGGTACCAACACTATCCACTGTATTTGACCTTGGTTTTGTTAAAGAAGCCAAATCTTCCTTCAGTTCATTTCAATTTAATTTAATAAGTATTTATTAAGCACCAATTATATAGCAGGCATATATAGTAACCAAACAGTTCCTCTGTGGAAATCTTCATCTAGATGGAAATTTCAGTAGTAATTCAAAATCCTCCAGCTCAATGATCACTTCTAATAACATTTAGATCAACTGTTCTGAAATTTCACTACAGTACTCTGGGACCACTGTTTACCACTTAATTATTGTAATTTTGCTAAATTGGGGTTACTGGTTGTGTCTAAAATTTCTTGTGTGATGACACTTAATAATATGATCTACAATCTGCCTGCTTCAGAAATATTTTAGGAATAAAAATTTCCCTATTATTTTCCTTAAAAAATAAGGTAGAGAATTATATATTCAGTCTATTTCCTTTTTACCTCTCATTATATTCATTTCACTCTGATTCTCTGATTTTTTTTTTCCTTTGAGGCTATATGACCCTAGGAAAGTCACAATCTTTTTGTCTCTCAGTTTCCTCATCTGTAATAATACTAGAATTAATACTTTACATTTATATAGTGCTTTAAGGTTTGCAAAGCACTTTAAATACATTATCTCATTTGTGAGATAGGTGTTATTTTTATTTCTATTTTTTTCCTCAAGGAGGTTGTGACTTACCTAGATCACTTAGCCAGCAAAGTATGCAGGGCATGTTCAAACCCAGGTTTCTTTACTTCAAGTGCAACATTCTACTCACAACACATGGCTAAAGATCTGTTTACTATTCTACAGGAAGGTCCCTAGCTCAGTGGATAGAAGATTGACAATTTATGTAAGGATGTGGAAAAGAGCCACACAGGATAAAAAGGCAATGGATGGGGGTTCAATCTGTACCATTCATTAGATGGAGTGTCTCATCAATATGACCGCATAGTCATCTAGTTATCAAAGTGTTATTCATATTATAACTAGAAAAGTGAGAATATTTACAATTGAACTGGAGACAATGAAAACATGAGTGGCACTCATCTCCCATGTGGGGTTTTGTAGGCATAGTTGTTTTTCCGAGTGGTACAAATCTAATTCCTAAATAGCTAATTTTTCATCTCATTTACAACTATCATTGAAGACCTATTTTTTTCTTTTTTAAAAAATAATTTTCTTTTTTTGTTATTCTCAACAGAAATGAAAAGCAATAAAATCTGGAGCAGCACATTAAGTGAATGGTTATGATGACTTTCAGAGGTTCCAATTTTCATTTCATCTGCTTCTTTTTTTCTCCTAGTTTTCATTTTCTGAAAAATTACTTTTTTTTCTGTATGATAGCCTCTGACTCTTGACAGATAACCTAGTCAGTCAACTAGCAAATTTATTAAGCATTTACTACGTGCTAGGCTCTGAAGGAAGGAAAGAACATGTCTGGATTGGGCAACAAATTTGGATAGTGTGAATCTGATAGGAGAAGCTGTTGATAATTTTTTAAAATCCTTTTCATATATTTGTTTATCCCAAATTTCCAATAATTGATTTTTTAAAGTGCCCAGGTTGATTATGGGAATTAACTTTCATCTATACCTTACATAATACACTATAATAAATTTCATATGAATAAAGAACTAAGCTTTTAAAAATTTATATTTTTAATCTCTAAATAACAAAGTGATTTGATCTATGAAAGAAATCTCAGAAATAAGATTGATTTGTTTGAATATATATGTATAAAATATTCTTAAACCAAATGCAATAAATATTAAACAGAAAATAACAAACTGGACAAAGATATATGAGAAACATAACTAGAAAAAAGTTTACTATCTAAATATCTAAAGACCTTATACATAATATCCAGAATTGATCAAATGAACAATTAAGGGAGACAGTTTACATAAGCAATAGTATAATATAATGAAAAGGACATTGGCCTTAACATTAGTCTTGAATTTCAGTCACAATTCTGCCACTTGAAAATGGTATGATCCCTCTGAGCTTCAGCTTCTATATGGGCAATATCTGCATAATAAAATCTAACTTGCAGGATTATTACGAAACTTGAACGAGATCATAGAAGTGAAGAATTCTGTGAAATGTAAATTGCTTTATAAATTACGGCACTGTTATTAGTATCTGGAAATACAAATAGTAATCACTGCAACACTAGCAATGAAAAGAAGTAATTTAAAATAATTCCCATTTCTATAGAATTTTAAGGTACTATGACATGATTTCAACTAACAAAAAAACAAGTAAAAAAATTTTTTTAAACCCCATACTAACAAGGATGTGGTGATAGTAGCACAGGAACAATTGTGGAGAGCAATCTGACAATATACATGATAAGCTCAATTTTACCCAGTAATTCCACTTTGGAGAATACATCCCAAGGTATTAAGAAAAACAATAAAAATTATACCAAGATTTCTGTAGTAGCACTAATGTATAACAATAATAATAATAATAATAACAATCCAAATGTCCAATTAGAGGGAAATCATTAAGCAAAATTATAGTGTTAATGGCTATTGGTACAGAGTACCTGACAAGGTACCTCCTCACACGGAGAACCTGGGGAGCTTGTGTCGGGGACATCTGTGATGACGTAAAAGGGAATAACTTGGAGAGACGGTTCCAGTCAGTACCTACGTGATGAAAAGGAGGCTCTTTGACTGGCTGCAGAGACATTCAAAAATGCCTGACAGCTTCAGGCTTTTCCACCTCGCCCCAGACCTCTTGAGGGAGCTCGGTGACCACCAAAGAAACTGTGGCCAAGTATCAAGCCCACAGTCATTGCAAGACTGTTGCCTCAAGGAACAAGGAGTGACACTCAGGAATGAGAATCAGCCGAGACAAAAACTCATCAGTATGCATGCTGCCTCGATATGAACTCCACGGAAACAACACTTGTAGGAAGGGAGTTGGTTAGCCCAAGGTGGAGTAGAAGAGAGGATGCCCCTGAGGTGCTGGGAAGCAGGAGGAAGGGAAAAGAGAGGGGAGGGGTAAAATGCTTGTACTTTGTTCTTTCTGTGTCTGAAATAAATATCCCTTTGTAATAGCCACCTGATGTTAAGGGGTCAAATGGAACTGGAGCACTAGTCACAGGTCCCCTAAAAAGGGGGGGGACACAGTCAGTCAGGTGGGCTTGAGCCAATGTCATTAGAGAATGCTCCCAGACTCCTTAGGGCACCCTAAAGCCTGAGGCCCTGGACAGAGTAATCCAGTATATACTGGAGAGCATCCAAATATATTAACACAAGATACTGCACACATCTTAAAAATCCACCAATCAATAAGCAGTCATTAAACACGTTACTACTATCCCAGGAACTATATTAGACTCTAGGGATACAACTACAAAAA